AAAGTACCCATGAACTTTTGGGAAAACTACAAGTCACACCCCCATAAACCATATACTTAAAATGTTCGTCATGACGAGAAACCTTGCTCAAAACTATCAATTTTTTCACTTGTCTTCTAGTGCTACAATCCAAAAGTACAGCAAAAAAATTTAACCTTAACATTTAGTCGACCTCAGCGTACGAAACATCAACAAATGCTTGCGATTTTACAATTGACCAAGAAGTCTACTACTTGTAGTGTTATACACAGTTATTCATAAAATAAAATGGGAGACTTTACGCACTAACAAAATTTACAACTTAAGCGTTCAAAAAATTAACTTTGAACTTTTCTGGTGCAAACCGATTATAAACAGAGGAGGTCCATTTGTCCATTAACTGCTTAGCCTTGAGAGACAATTGACAAAAGCGTAACTTGATAACGATTTTCCTCCGCTGACGAATAAACCACAACATTACATGTAATTGGAGACTGCCATGTAGACTACTTAAATAGGTCTATTTTCCCGTAAGTTAATAGTTATTAAGTCAATGAAACTGTATGCTAGTGAGCCGCGTTAGCGTATAATATTTATATTTATCAAATTATCGTATGTGATATAATTTTTAGGATAATGAATAATCTACAAAGAAGTTTGATTATTTCATCACATTAAATATGCCAAAAACTGTGTTTGGTTGGATTTGAATTTCCACTCTTGAAATTGGAAATTAGCTTTTTTATATTTAAAGGTTCTGGAAAAAACATTTTTGTAGCACTTTTAGTAACCAAAAAATGGGGCTATGTTCTCGTAGCAAAAATATGCATGAAGAGGAATTTGTAAAAGGTCTCAGGGATCGATAAAATATACCCATATTGCTGGCCCCGCAAATGGCTTAAAACAGTTAACATTTACAATGTTTGAAATGCATTACCGGTATTTATATTTCCCCCTGCTTTTGCTTTTGACCCTACATGTTTATTGGATATTTTGGTCGATGTGTTGTGGCCCTCGGACTACGGAACGAAATGTCCGGCCCAGCATGAAGGACGCCGTGGCATTTCACCCAATTTGGAGGAAATTGTGACCGTGGTTGTTATGGTATATGACGGCATCAAGGACATGCCGTCGTATATTGAACCCTACCACACCAAACCGAGTAGAAATGCAAGTTGTGGTCGAGTCAGACAGCTATTAGTAGTATAATCTACATCAAGGACCTCTTCATATTGAACTTGCGGCATCTGAGGAAGCTAATTATTTGGACTTAAGGTCTGTTTGATCCAGTTTAAGCATTTTGATCCGTTTCAAGTCAAAAGCTTATCACCACAGTCTAATTAACATTAGTAATTCATATTTACGATTGTTTTTTATCTGGTTTCGTTAATTAAGCCAGAGAACCTGTGCGGTAAGTTCTGATCTAAATTAAATTTTACTTAACAAACAAGTAATTACTTTAAACATCATTATTTTCGTTGTGACAGATCGTTTAGGCCATTATTATAAAACGAAATCTCAACAAAAATATTCGGAAAGGTTGTTTGTCAAAGAAAACATTAGCATCCATGTAATTTATCAATAACGCGGCAAGGACGATCTCTGCCGACCGCTGTGCAATGATGTGATCTAGATCACATGTTTTCTGTGTCTAGATCTAGAGTATCCCCTAATGTATATCCAGTGGCATATTTGTGAAGGAAAGTAGAGAAGAGAATGTAGAAACAATCTGCATTAACTGCAGGTAATGGCGGTGAACAATTAGTTGGCAAATGGTATTACAAATGTGCGATCGAATGTGAAGCTCGTGCGTTTTATTGCTACTCCATAACAGGTCCTTAGGCCGTACTTACTGGAGTGGATAATGGATAGAATTAAACACTATCGGAAAAAAAACTGTAGCCAAACTATAGTTATAGTGTGAAAGCAGCCATGAACTCTAAAATGTTTGAGCAAATGCTGGGGATTGAATACGTCACTTTCACACTGAGACGCTCATCATTGGGGCTAGCAGCTTCTGGCGTTATAAAATGAGTCAATTGCGTTGTCCTTACAAAGTACTGTACAACAAATTTGACCCTCAAGTTTGAAATGTGTCTATTTCGGGTTATGTATGACCCGACCGACCCGGGCTGTTCATACAAACTACCATTCATCTGTAATGAGGACCACGAACATGTATCTTGGTTACCTATCAGCCAACATGACATCGTGTGAAATTAATACACCGGTACACTTCAACTAAAAAAATCTGTTAAATATGAGGGAACCAATTTCACCATTTTGGTTTGACTTTGAAAGAGTCATAAATATGTTTGATGGTATAAATGTTCGCCCCTTGTATAATTGTATTCCATGGACATCGCAAAGTAAAACGTGTTGGTTAGTCTATGGTAAAACTACACTGTGTATACCCGGGACATTATCTCTCCCCTCGGCGCCTGCAGTCGTTTCCTAGAAGGTTACGTGGCGCGAGCGCCGAGTGGTCCGAGCGCCGAGTGGCGCGAGCGCCGCGCGGACTACCTGCTACGTTATGACAGATTTGACAACGCTAATCAAGTATCAAGTACACTTATAATCGTCAAATTATCCATGTGTAGATAAATTGTGCCGTATATGCGAGCTCTTACAACCTTTTTTAAAACTTAGTGTTTTTAGAGCGTTCTTATACCTAATTATAATTGCATAAACGTAATCTAACCTAACCTAACTTAACCTAATCAAACCTAACCTATCCTAAACCTAACCTAACCAAACCTAACATAACAGCTGGCTCTCCGAACTTGGAAATGTGCCGCGGGGAACCCGAAGTGACCACCGCGCGGAGTTAGGATAAGCCCTACCACAGAGGCTTTAAGCGTTAACCTCGTCACTTCTGCTTCATTGAGCAGACCCTTACAAGATTTATGGCTTCGGCGCTCGCACCACTAATTAAACCGCGGCGCCACGCCACCCGGCGCTCGAAGCACGACACCTTCCTAGAAGAGTGACCAACTAGCACCTCCAATACAGTTTCAATTTTGTTTTATTTCACACAATACCTCCATATAAATATAAAAATGGTAAAATAAAAAAGTAAGAAAATGATATGGAACACAGTGTATTTCGATTAAAAATAACAACTTATATACAAATTTGTATATTATCCTACTCTTGAAAGTATATCCTAATCCTATAATAATAAGAGTCCTTTCTACGAACTGAGAGAAATGCCCAGACTAAACTACGAATGGGTTAGTTCGCATTTGCAGTAAGTGGCATTCGTTGCCAACTTCACATAGAGTAATGAAGACAAAGTGGCAAGTGTGAACAAACATGTCAAAACAGCTTCATTAATGATGATCAAGATTGGTAGCAAAGAAACTGACAGCCTAGATCACATTGCACTTGTCATGCAATGGTCAGTTAAATAAATTGCGTTGGGAATCCAATAAATAAATTAGTTTATGGCTTTCAAATATTCCTCAATCAGAAAAACTTTATGAGATTGAAAACCAAATTAACAAAGTATTCAACAATTAGTTAGACAACTTTCTACTACCCCTTTACTTACTTTAATTTAAAATCTTTTGCAAGGCAGTTAAATTGATTCTATTTGTTATGTTCAATAAAAGGGGCATTTGAATTTATATAATAAAATATGAAAATACTCTAACATCTCTTATATAAATTAATTTTAATTACTAAAAACCTCTCATTTTATATTATTAAGTATTGGGAATGATCATAGTGAATTTTTTATGTTGTAGACATAAAAAGTTAATCATGCCGTGATGAAAACAAACATTTTCACTACATTAGGTACTACCAATGCATTAAAAAAATATTAACTGTTGCAATCACTTTTACAATACTTGACATTTTAAGCTACAACAAGTACAGCTATTTTTTTCTAGATTGGTTTAAATAATCTTGAAGCCAGCAGTCCTCGGTCATCATTGCTGTGGGATTCTAACAAATTATATTTGCTAAGGAAACATGCAGTTAATCTTATTTTCTAACAATCTACTTTTGAATCCCTCAAATTTCACTGTCGTCATTAAAATTTATACTATTTGAATTAAAATAGAACCAGTTGTATATCCATCTCAAAATAGTGGTAATATTTATGTTTTTACCTAAATAGGCCCTACATTACAAAACAATTAAATTCTCTTGTCAAAAGTATTTTTAAATGGAAAAGGTGAGATAGTTAAAAAATTAGTACGTCTACATTACAGTTTGGATCTCTATTGTTACTGAACTGAGCAGATTGAAAGAGCGATGGCTACAGACGGAATGACTGATTGTGATTGTTTAATCATGCAAATTGTATTATTTTGTCTGACTTAATAAGGATGTCATCATTGCTCATCAAAGTTGATAAAGCGACTTGCACTGGACATTGGTTGATATTACTTTTATAATTCTTTAGTTGCTTTACCTGTGCTTCGATTATGGTGAGGGCTTTCTAAATCACTAGATTGATACTCCTTCACTCTATCAATATCAAATCACTCAGTTAATTTCACTTTATCCGCTACTCTAATGATACACCTTTGATCCAGGTCCACTCTATCTAAGTATAGGTCTTACTCAATCAATACAACATGCATCACTCTATCAATGTTTTAACTTAATCAATACCACTTCTCTCTATATTGATACCACAAAAATATATTGACCTAAGTCCTACCTAAATCAATACCAGTCCTCCCTATCTAAGTATAGGTCTTAATCAATACCGGCTCAAAATCAGTACTAATTAACTTTTTCATAATATCCTAAAAAATGCATACCATTTCACTCCGGCCGATACTTCTTTAACTCAAACCACTTCACTCGATCGAGATGTCAATATTGCTTCCCTCAATCGATATAACTTGAGGTTGTTGATACTTAACTACTTTTACTCTAATCAACTTCAGTCTATAAGCTATCGTTTCACACACCCCGTAAGTCACCTACCCTCATTGTGCATGTTCTTTGTACCATCCTGGCACGCCTGGCATGTCTCACTGTACAGTCATGTTTGTTTGCAGACGCAGGGGAGGTACCGTGGTTAGAGCCCGACAGAACGTTGAAACTTTGGAACATCAAACGCAGGCCAACGTCTTGCTTGCTTTCAAGTATGCTTGCATGCTTCTTTCTCTCTGTTGGGTCTATGCAAGTTGTTATAGAATCGGTGCATGCGATCTTAGATAATTAGCTTTACTGATGGAAATTATTCATGATTTAATAAAATTATTTTGTGTTTAAGATGAATTGAGGCAAATGTTTCTGGGATATTAGGTTTCACTTAATGCTTTTGGCTCTCTCTCTACCACTTTGTACTTTTTTTAACTATCGTACACATCGTCCACTTAAGTGATGTTTTGAAAAGAATAGTTTTTTTTCAAAATTACTATTGTTAAGTTTTGAGACTGTAAGAAAATATTTGAGCTGTTAAAAAAAAATTAACTCCACACTCTAAGTAGATAAAATCATAGACAAAAAGAATTAAATATAGACCGTCAGCTGTGCTGCGGTTACCATTGGGTCTGGCGCACACCGCTTGGAGCGCCATGTAGTTACGGCGTACGCGCTACGTAAACTACAGCGGTGTGCGCCGGAACCTATGGTAACCAAGGTAACTGCAGCACGGCTTACAGTCTATATTTAATTCTTTTTGTCTATGATAAAATTCAATATGATTTTAATGGAAAACCTTAGATTAAGAATTCAAAATCAAATAAAACAAGCTCACATAAAGTGGTTAGTACTGTGAATGAAACTTAATACAGAAAATGAGCAATCAATTGTGGTTTTGTCAAGTCGTGTCAGACTTATGAAACAACTCAAATGCAGTATCAATTGCTAAGAGGAGATCTTTTTTATAGTTATTCTGACCTAAAGAAACATTTTTACTTGATAACAACATAATTATTAGCACCGGGTAAACCGTAGACTTTTTGACACAGGTGTAATCTCTACTTCATATGTCAATAGGTACCAATCCAACTAAACAAAGATTTCAGTTACATAATCTTTTTTAGATAGTTTGAACAAAAATGACCCTTATATTAAGCAGGAGTTAAAGGGGTGTTCCAATACTTGAAGATCTACTTCATACTTGTAGTTATGGAGAGTATAATGTAATTAACTATTTTTACTCCCCTCCCCATTTTCCCCCAATTAGCTCTTCATATTAGACAGAGATGTTAAAAAGTGGAGTATGGTTCATAATGTCAAGAAAACAAATTATCTATAATTTCTTCTATAAGCCCCAAAAATCTCTGACATTCAAAACAGATATCAATTTGACCCTTGATGACAAAAAGTTTTTCTGTCTCATTATATACAGTTATCAGTCTTGCCTCTTGGTAGGTAAACAAACAAGGGATAGTTGATTTTGGTCACACACTGTACACAACTCCCACATGAGAGCAGATCAGCTTTTTCTTTATCACAGCTTCTCAGTATGTGTTGGTTTCACAACATGTTTCCTATTTATCTACTGATACTTTTGTTATATATTAATTTGATTTTGACTTGGATTCATAGGTATGTTATGGAATAAATTGCAAATTATTTGTTTATATTTGGCGTAGGTATTTCTAACTACTTGTATGTCCTTTTGTAGCAAAGAATCTTGAAGGTTTATTTTGGGATGTTGGTAGAATATTTTTGAATTATTAATTTGTAAAATACAGTAACTTATCATTCAAATCTTCATAACTGATTTCCACTACGTAATATCTGTGACAATTTGTATGTGAAACATTTTTCCTTGGTGTCTCCATCAGCAGCATTTTTTTTGTGGAGAAACTATGGCCAAAAGATTACATAATAATGATTAATAATAGTTATTGAATTTATTTCAAATTATTCTACGAGGCATGTTTTTTAAGTAAGTACCATTTTAAAATAACCAAAACCAATATACTTTATTGTAATAATTATATTTTTATTTGAAAGCCAGTGTCTTAATCTACTTTTAGACATAGTTTCCGTCAATAAGTCATACATCATATCGTTCCACGAGCTTTTGCATTCCTTTCTCAAAGAATTCTGCCGCCTGACTGGATAACCAGTGTGTCACAGCCGTTTTGACCTCATCATCGTTGTCTAGGCGCTGACCACCAAGATGTTGCTTTAAATATAGGAAAAGGTGGTAGTGGGAGCTAGATCCAGGCTATATGGAGGGTGGTCAAGTTGTTCCAGCAAAATGATTTGATTAGTTCTTGCCGATTAGCCACATGTGGATGGGCATTGTCATGCAGTAAATGACCCCATTGGACAACATTCCACGCCACTTGTCTTGGATTGCCCGGCGCAATTTTTCCAAGGTCTCACAGTATAATATATTGAGTTTATTGTGTTACCACGAGGCAAAAAGGAAAAAATGTACCAGTAACACCCCCTTTCTGTCTCAAAAGACAGTACAACTTCAGTTTCTTTTCGCCATTCTATGAATTTTTTTTTACTCTGGCGTAACTTAAGACACCCATGTTTCATCGTCTGTAACAATTTGACCAAATCATCTTCTTTCTCCTCGTAGCGCTCAAGAAAAGTCAATGCACTGCCTAACGCTTGGTTGTTGTTACCCAATTGCGTACCATTCCGTCACTCATGTTCTCGCCACACACTTCACTAATTTGACGATGAATTTCAATGGCTTTCAAATTAGAAATTTAAAAAAGCTCAAATTAGAGACAGTGCTCAAATTAGAAATTAGAAATTTCGTAGAAATTTAAAAACGGTACTTACTTAAAAATCATGCCTCGTATATTTATTATATATTAACTGTGAGTCAAAGTTAAGACTCAGTCTTATATAAATTATATATAAGACTGGGACGGGTGGTGTCGTTCTGTAATCCAGCTACTAGGAGGTCACGAATTGTGGATATTTATAGGGATGCACTGTGGATGCGGTGCTCCCTGGTGTGGATTAACGTCCGCACTAGTGAGTACTACGACTATCCGCAGTACTATCCTGATAATTACACCAATTCGTTAATTACAAGGAAAAAATGAGGTTCGAATTCCTATAAACTGTAGGTCCCTAAGTTGCCAATAGCTGTATGGGCTATTAATTAACAGCTGTGTCTAAGGAACATGTCGGCCTTAGTCACTAACAAGACTACAAGATCGCGCCACTCATCCTACACTCATCCTTCACTCATATTTAGGTTAAAATACGCACATAGTGGCGTCCCCATCTTATATAATTGATAATTGATAAGATAATTGAATAATTGAACCACAAAAACTATTGCATGAATATAAAATCATCACTCAGCTGCATGTTTTAGTCCTTTCGCCTTTCAATTATGTTACAAATCCTTTCTCAGCTGTTGAGTAAAGAATTGTTTCTTTAAATTTACAGTAATTTATGGTTACACCTATTTTTAAAGAAATAACTTATAACTAATAAATCATATTATTTGTGTATAGTTAACCTCTTTCATTAAAATGTGCATGCTCAAAATTAACAACTCACTTCTGCTGAACAGTATAAGATAAATTTAAAACGATAAAAACTAAGATAAAAGGATTAATGCAAACAACTCTTTCACTGATTTGTAAAATAGATGTTTTACGAAGCTTGGATTGCAAAATGTGACTCCAACTTCAGATAGAAAGAAACTTTATAAATAAGAAGACACAAAACGGCAATGTTGGAAAACACAATATCTTAAAAAAACTATTTTACTTCCCACCTGAATACTAGGTCATATTCTGGGATGCAAAATGTCTGCAATAAACTGATCACGATCATTGAACTTTAAAAGAGAAACAATATCAATGTCATGTACTAAATGTACCTTACGTTGCAGGTTGAGCATGGTATCAGGGAACGGGGTGAACTCAGTACCTCGCCCTAGTTACCGGACCTACCGCAAGATGGCGGATGCCGGGGTGCAATACGAACCCCAGGACGTCGAGTTCAATGGAAATAGAGACACAGAACTGGAATCAAGCTTCACCAATCAGACGGTCGCTGAGATCAACACTTCAGGAAACATCTCTGAGCTGGACCAACCATCTTACAACAACACAAACTATGAGCATCGCCCGTTGTCACTGCAGGTGGACTGATTAGCAGTTTTTTTGCTAGTAAATAACTTTTAGAACACACTTTTTTTGGCGCTTTTATATAAATACAATTAATAAAATACCTACCTCATCCAATATATTTACACCGATACTGTAAATCTTTACAATACGGTAAAATTATATAAAAGATGTTACGATGGCAATATTTTTCAACCAGAAACTCAGGTTATTATCAGACCCAATAGAATATTGAAGGAATCTAAATTGCCTTTGCTTAAATACACAAGGTCAACGGAAGTTTCTGAAGTGAACTCAGATAAGTTCAGGCGGATTCAAAGTTTATTTATTCATTTATCAGTTTTGCCCTATTTTTACATTTTTCTTTATAAAATATACAGCTCTTTCCAAGCGTGTATTACCTTTCCTTTTTTACATACTTGAGGATTTTACAAAATTCTTTGATATCTTCGGCTTATGTCAAATTAAAATTGATTTATATAACCTTAAATATGGGTGGATCCAGCTAGTCAAAAAGGTAGAGGCTGTTGAGAATGATAATCAATAATCAAAGATGAAGTTACAGCTTGATAACAACAAGTTAGCTTTTACAAGTTAGTAAAATAACTTGACTGTACCCTGGCAATTTGTGGAAATCTGGAGGCGTAATGTATAACAAAATCCAAACCTAAAGGTGTACACTTATAAGTTTTTGTTTTTATTTTTTACAAATATTACCCCAAAAAGAGTCTGCCCCTCTGGCGGATCCTTGGCCTAAAACATATGTACTTCATTCAGTTAATAAACATTTTTTCTGTCAAAATTGGTTTGCAGATTAAAAAAAAATTACTACTGTTTTTCAGAGCTCTTCAAGTTCGTCCAGTAGCGGTAACGAAGAGCGAGGGGAGAAAAAGCGGACTTTGAACCCGAGTGAGCAAATGGATGTTGACGCTATTTGTGTCCAACAAAGTGCAGTCGAGCTTACTTCACCTGCGGGGAAAAACATTGAACTGACCGAACCGGAGAAAATAGACATTCCTGAGAAAGAAGAATCAAGTTGTGGTTTGGACTGTCTGTACTTTACAATGCAATGTTGCGAGTGCACCATTCTGTAGATTGAAAACTCAACAACGCACAACAGAATCTCTATGTTTTGCTGATCTTTGTTATGTATGTTGTTTCATTAATCAATTGTGATTTTTCGATTCCACATCGCTCTCTATTCGTACTGTGAATCGTGTGTGGTTTGAAATGTGATATTTTTGTATGACCGGGAACTATGAAAGCAACTAAGTTGCACGACTGTTGAGTTTATCTGAACTAAACAAGCGAGACATTGTTTGTTCCAGAGATAATATCGTTCCTAATGTAAGTGCAAAGCTAAAAAGTATTTTACTCGTTAAAGTAATCAAAGTTAATTTAAAATATATTGTTATTTGCTTTGAGTATTTATTGATTTTGTAATTTGAAGATACATTTTGTATTAAGTGTATATTAATATTTTTGTAGCTGAATGCTGTGTCTGTAAATATGATTATGTATAAACTGTTATCACTTTAAGGTAAAGTGTTAATTTAGTTCTAATATTATGTGCTGATAACTTTTATACTATAAATACATGGTATTATTAACATCTGTTGAATCAATCCTGCATCTAGACATTTGTCGGTTGCATTTTTTATTGGTTGACGACGACCTTAAATGTAGTATATTACCTAGACCTACCACTTATGTTTGATGAAGGTAAGTTTATGTTGTTACAGGGACAATTGCAGGTAAAACTTTGGTTTCATTTACAAGTCATGGGAAACGTATGCAATAATATTTGACACGAAAACCTAATTACTATTTATTCCTTAACACTTGTCATTACTATGTAAAGTTTTGACGTATATCTTCTATGGTTGCCAATAGAAAAACAGTATTAAGTTTTGATATCCATAAAAGTGGTGTAGTGTGCATTTATCATTTGTCATCACTCATCCGCAGAAAAATCATATTTATGCCACACGATGGCGAAGACATCATCATTTTCTCTAGCAATGCCAGCAAAATGTTGACACATCTGCAAGAATCACGAAGATGTCATCATTGTCGCCCTCGACTGCGGAAAATTCTACAACTTCTCTTACAATCGTATTCCATGATGACATAAAATCATGAATATATTGTACCGCTGTCTTGTTGGAAGTTTAAAAAATTCTAATTCACAAATCTCAATAACAGTTCTTAACATTCATTTTACTATCAATGGTGGAAAACAAGGCGTAAAAAAATAAAGAGATAGTTACATTAAACATTTATTATAATTAATAACAGAACAATAAATACAAACTAGAGTTATATACATAAAACAATATTGTAAAAAATACAAACCAGATTAGACGCATAAATTAAGATTAGAGCCTACTTAAAGACTTAAAGCGAGAGTAAAAATGTTTATGGTTAAAAGAACTAACTTAAATATTATTAAAAATACAGTTGACATAATCTCTTTTGGTTGTAAAATAAAATAGTTTTCGCTACACTACTGTCAAATGACCTGTTTCCGTTACATGTTTATCACCTGAGAAAATTCATCATTCCATTGTTTTTTGGATTTTGCCGACGTAAACAAACAAATATTTGTTATTGTTTTGTCAACTGTTTCAATTTTTAACAACAAAATCTATTCAACCAAAGTAAATATCACCTTTAAATTGAAGGCATAACGTAAAACTTGCTGTGAGTTTTGTAACTTAATGTTCTTTAATAAGAAATATCCAATGTCTAGGAAAATTATTAGTCTTTGTAGTGTAGCGAAAAGTAACGTTCAAAACAGGAGTGGAAGTGGGGCTTTACATATTCTCGGCAATATGGTCGGGTTTATAATCATGGTCTCAAATATGTAATGACTCACTTTCTACTCTTGTTACGCAATATATACTATTCCATCCTTATTCGGAAGAGGAGTACATAATAAATTATTGCATTGAGTTTATGTTCATGGTTGAAAAGAAAACTATAACTGGCATAAATTGTATGTGCTAATAAGCACTAAAGGCACCAAATGTTTTAAACACTGAATTGACATACCAGAGTATACTATTCTAAAAATTATTTCAGTAAACTAAAGGTGGAAGTGAAATATAAATAAAGACTAGTAGAATTCATAAATAATCCTGCGTATGAGGAGGAAATTTATACAGATATTCAAAAATTAATTACACTCAAGCTTTTGAATTTAAATAGAAAATATTGGTTTAGTTAAATAACAAAAAAGTCAAGATTGTAAATGAATTTCTACTTTTGAATGTAAAGAAATTTCAATCAATTTGTTCCAAAACTCAGCTTAGTTTTACCATCGGTTTAGTTACTGAAGTAGAAGTAGACATCCCATCTACATGGATAATTTTAACCCGTTTCCACTCAAAGACACACAGTCAACTGAAGAATGAGTGAAATGATACTGTATTCAAGTATTTTAGTCTCTGAAAGTTGATGAATAGAAAAGATGTCATGATTAGTATGAAGTTGTCCATTCCTTTTTGTATAATCAAGAATTATTTGGGTGTATTAAGAGAAAACAGTTTTTACAGCAGCATTGTTGGCTAAATTGCATTAAGTTATTTTTAATTCTAAAACTTTGGAATGTCTACTTCACGTAGTATATATCTATAATGAGCAATGATTTTACTGTAAGTTGTAGACCTTTTAACAGTTAAATTCTACACAGAAAAATTAATTATAAAAATTACCTATCCATACATTACAATTTTGACAGGAATAAATATTCTACATTACTTAAATGTCAAAGCTTCTACAATACATAATTTTAAGTTATAACATAAAGTACTCCTAAACATAAAATAAATAGGATTATTATTGAACACAATTCTACAGTTACATTCATTTATGACAACAAATTACAGCAAAATATTAAATAAACTAAACAAGTTAAATATTTAAATTGAACTATAAATTCCCTAATATTGTGACCCCTTGATTATGTATGTTTCATGTAATTTTTGGGATTTAATATTATTTATATCTAGAGTTAAAAGGTAATAATAAAACTATTAAAGAAACAATCAATAGTAATAGTCACGAATATTAAATATTTTAAAAGATGTTGTTTACCAACCAACAAATAAGTGACCAACAAATTTAAAGTAAATAAACAATCTTAGACTGAAAGATAATTTAAATATTCATTACAAACTTTTAGCTTTAAGTACAATTTCACGGACACTAAACATTTTATAGATGAGACGATATTAAATCTTGGCAAGACAATGTAAAATTGAATTGTTTGAACACTTCAAGCACAGCCTATTCTATTCCAAAATTCGGACTTATAATTGACTTCTATGCTAAGATCAAGGCAAAATATGACGGAGAATGTTTCCTGTAGTTATTGGAAGCAGAAAAGTTTTAACACTTAAACTTGAACTTTTCTGATAAAAATCGTCAGTAGCCTAAATCTAGCTTTTAACTAATATCAATATCCCAATGTTTCTTAAGTAAAAAATCTCATCCGGTAACACGTAATAGTTAAAAACATTATATTATATATTTATATTATTTAACATCTGAATAAAAACAAGAATGTTTAGCGTAGACTATGTAATCCTTACAAAAATTGAGAGACCTAAAAAACTAACAAGCCACTTTTAGTACAGTTAAAAAGTCAATCTGTCTTCCTTTTCAAAATGTTATTGAAATAATAACATCTGTCAGATGAAATAATCCTTGAATAAACAAAACACACAGAATAATACAAGTAAAACGACTCTACTAAAATATCTTTTGTGCTTCAAATATTGTTAACATTTGAGCTAACATGTGACAGAAAATTTGAAACTGTACATAAAATTATTACTAACATTGAATATAACTGTATATAATATATATCTTAAGCTCTATAAAACATCATCGCATTCCAATACTGTATGACTGATATTTGTACAGACAGATAAATGTACACTTTGTACCAAACATACGTTCCCTGCATAGCTACAACACTAAAAAATAATCTGAAACTGCGAATGATTAAAAATCAACAATAACATTTTAACTTCTGACACAATCAAAATAATAGAAAATATAAATTCCTCCTTGTTATCTTGTTAGAAACTAACTCAAAATGCCAAGTAAAGACCACACCAAAATCAAATATAGTCAGTTGTACAATGTTTAACCACTATAATACTGTTGATTAAAAATGTTAATTGTAATAAATGATCATTAGTAGGTAGTCTAAAAATTAGCACCGAATCTTACATCATAAGCATGAGTAAAATAATCATACTATAGTTTGGCCGCATAGAAAACGACCTGCGTGCTTATGCTAAACCAATGCTAGAGGAGGTCGCTTTCTAAGCGGCCGAACTATAAATGTTATTGTTTTTTTTTGTTGAATGTTTGGATTAGGCTAAATTATACAAATGAATACATGGTTAATTTTTTTGTTAAATCTTCTATGGTTTTTGTAAAACCAACTATAACCTCAATCGATCAACTCCTAGGAAAATAACAAAAAAATAGTAAGTTAAATGCTTAGGATTATTACACTTGCAAATCTTCGTAGCTATTCTAAATAAATTACTACACACTTAAGGAGGCTATTTGAAAATCATTACTACAAAGCTTGTGGTTAATGTTTGTTGGCAGTATATTCAAAATTTTGAAATTAGCTAAGTGTACTTCCAAGTATTATTTTTGTTCACTTACTCTCCAGGTTAGTTACGGGGTAAAAACAGCAATTCTCAAACTTTTCAAAGTGTGACCATAAACCAAAAATGCACATCCACCGAGCACCATTGGCTGTTTAAAGCTTTGTATACATATTGAACCAAAATAGATATTAGTTCAGCCATTGATTTTACCTTTTTGAACAATTACAATGTTCACAAAATGTATATAATTTTTTTATACTTTAAAAAATAAATCAGGCTAAATAAAATTCTCTAGAAATTGTCAACCTAAATCGTTAAAATATAAATAATCTTGCAGCAGTACTCAAACAAGGTAACAACTACACAAAGTGTTTGAAATTATGGACCTTATGGCACAATAAATAAACTCATCTACAATCGATTAGAACAAACCTGAGTTTGAGAACTGCTTGGTTAGGGGATGCAAAATACACCGGAGATTCTACGACAGGTCGGCCAGTGACTTATCGCTTCATCTTATCCAAAATCGGAAGCACCATGTCGAAGGTCGGACGTTTTCCAGGATCCTCGTTCATACAGATCCTGATCAACTTGGCCAGGTGGGACGAGATGCCGGGGGGAATACTGATGCGGAGACCCTCCAGAGCGACCTACAAATAACTCACTTGTAAGTTCATGAACAAGTTTGCGTTCAAAATAAAGAGGAAAACACTGTCAATGAAAGCCCTCACCTTACTCAAGGTTGTCTACCTAGAGAGATATTCCCCTGAGAATCTAATCTTATATTTTTGTGGTGGGCAGAGTTAAAATTACGCCAATGTACTTTAGAATCAGTTTTTCAACACAAATAAGTTTAGCGCAAGGGTAATCACAATAAAATATAAGAGTTCAGTGTAAACACACTGAATTTTTGTCTATTTCCTGCAAAGATTTGACAGTTTTTTACTCTCATACAAAGTTAGGCCTATTAATTTAGTTGTGGACACATAAAAGAATACAAAAAATTATAGTTATCTTTAAAAATATATTTATGTGACCTATATGCAAAATCAAGTATATGTAAAATTGTACAGTTACAGTTAAAATATGTTTGAAAAAAGAGCACAAAAGTAACTCTCCACACAGTTACGACATCAATTTATTTCAAGTTTTTTTATCGCTCAATCATCTATGACATTGATGAATTATCAAGTAGGCTATATTCATAATTTACTAGTGAGTTAGAAAATTTCAATATATATTTTACCTTTAATATTTTAAGACTGGCAGTGCACATAATTTTTATTAGTTTGAACTTAAATAATTACACAAATAAAATTTTGTGGTTTGATTTTAATTCTGTACTTTCAAATGGAAACGATACGGGTAAACCAAAGTTTTAGTTTGTTTTGACACAACAGCTTATCAATGAAGTTACCTTCATTCCCACTTCCATGGGGGACAAGTCAGCAAAGGGAACCTCACGAGTAGCGAGCTCCCACAGAAGAACGGCGAAACTCCACATATCGCTAGCCTCAAGGTTGATCTCGCTAGGCTTCTTTTGAAGCGCTGCAAAAACACAAACCATTGCAATATAAAAATTACAAAAATCAGTCAATTGCAAGAAGTTTGCATTTGCATATCGGTATAAAGTGTCATAAAATCCATACCTAAATAACCTTGTTTCGTGGGACTAGGTATGGAATATTACTTTGTGAACCTTACAATCTTTAATTATTTTCACATTCAAAGTTGATGATATTGTTTAAGTGAATTTTGTAAAACTGTTTATAAAATGGTCAATGAAAAGTGACCAACTAAAATCACACAATTTTGCTTCATGAGTAGAGAAAAGTAGTGTAATACGAGGGTCAAATATTGTAAAGAGGAAGTGTTTGGCAATGTTGTGTGAGTAGGCTGGTAGTGTTGTTAAACAATAACTTGTTGTGCTGACCTACTGAAGGCTGTTGCTTTAAGTAGGCCAGTGCACTTGATCAAGGGGTCAGTTTTGTGTGGAGTGGTTTGTGTGGTGCACCAGAGGACGGGGTCCTGCTGGGGGAGCTGGAGCCCAAGGCCCTTGGCCTTGGGTCCAGGTAAGAAAATGTTAAGGGTTTTCAAAATTGGGGTTTAGAGTGTTTTCAAAATTGGGGTTTCAGTTTCTAACTAAATGATTACAGTTCCAGTCTACTCTACCTTTTTTGATTGTTAGTTAAGCTTTGTGTTGTTTTGAGTAATTAATAATGTTGGGTTTTGTAAGCGAGTGCTGAGTTTCATTCCAGAGCTACGTCACCCAAAGTAACAGTAGGTATTCCAAAGAGGAAATATGTACCGTTACAGTAGCTTATGTAGCCTACATGATAATTTAAGTGACCTTACTGAATCCAAACAAACCATAAGTTCACCAATAGCTTTACTAAGTTTTAAAATAAAACAAAACCTAAAACAAAGTCATCATAAACTTGCTAGGCCTACAGTACTAATATTTGTTTACCCTCAGGAGACATCCAAGCTGGATAGTAGACGCGGCCTTTCTCTTGAAAAGAGAACTTAGCATCGGCCATGTTGATTCTTGCTGTCAGGTCCTCGTCGATCTAAAACAGAAAATTGGAAAGGTTATGTTTGATTTTCTTCTTGAGATACCATGTTTTAGAGGTGATTTTAAAGAAAATGTTTGTCTTTAGGTAACGGCTGATTTAAAATGGATGAAGCATTTGATACTGTCATGTGGCTTCAACCAATGAATACACAAACTATAAAGAAGAACAGGTCCTATAGACAATATTCTAACAGTATTTTCCAATTTGGCACGCAAAATATTTTTAGCTCTGCACTGAACCACCATCCAGCGCTGGCGTCAAGTTTAGCACGCAGTGAAGTGCGAGAGAGAGCGACATACACTGTTTTCGTCCCCTCTCTCGTGACCTGGCCCATAGGGGACCAAAACAGTGTATGTCGTTCAGTGCAGAACTACAGATATTTCGCGCGCCAAATTTGAAAATACTGTTAGAATATTTACCATAGGACCTGTTCTTCTTTATAGTTTGTGTATTCATTGCTTCAACTTAATGTTTGTTCTTTATTTTTTGATTTGTTGGAGGAATTGACACTTCAGGACCAAATATTATGTTTTATCGTATCTCCGTGTGCTTTATGGTGTGCCTGTACTTTCAAAGGTAAGCTAGCTGGCTACCAATTCTTGCAAAAAATAAAAAAATAAAGCTTAATTATTTATAAAAAATAATGATCATTTCTGGCCACAGTAAAACTACAAGTTCTCCTAACAGTGTACTACCACCTACCATGATGTGTCGGCTGTTGAGGTGGTAGCGTGGGGTGAGACGCTCTAGACTGTGTAGGAATGCCATCCCTCGGGCGACATCGACAGCGAACCGCAGAGCCTGCGCGGAGTCTACCACCACGCCAGCACCCTCGTGCAGTAGAGTGAACAACGAACCCCACGGCATGTGCTGGTTGATCACTACGAGGCTGGGCGGAGAGTTACAGCAACCAACCACAGGCAACACATTCGGATGAGAGAAGATCCTGCATAGAAAGATTGGGAGTTACAGAGTGTTTAAATATTTTAATGTTCAATGGTAAAATCCAGTATCACAATGTTCAAAACTAATGTCTACAGCTGAGCTGTTGAAAAATGTACTACATCTTATTTATTAACCGTAAGGAAAAGCCAGGTGGCTGGTTTGGGAAATATTAAAAAAATGATCGTTCTGGCTTACACTCTGCAATATGTAAGCTGATATTACTATGCTAACCAATCATGACCCTGATTTTCACCCTAATGTAGGACTTCTTACAAAACTAGATTGAACAGTGTAATGATTTGTGATTTGTTATCTGTGTACCTTTTGATTCTGGCTCTATTTTTTTCAGATAATCTAGTTGAATTTTATTGGTTTACAAAATAATTAGGACCTTAATCGCCTAGGCTACTCAAGATTTTTTTTTAAAGGGGAAGAGTTCAGCTAGCTTACCTAAGTCTAGGGGCTAGATAATATATTCACAGTAAAAGGGCACAGATCCTTTGATATTGCATCCTATAGCACTTCTCCAAAGAGTAGATATGGAAAAGATGAACTTTTTGTGTTTTTTCCTTTTTTTGTTTATAGATATATCAGCCACTGGGCTCTATAATTTTCACCTGTAAGCTAGCTATGTAAGCTTATATCTCCTTGCAAAGTAATTCCCGATCAACCACTTTCATTTAAATTATGTCACTTAATTCAGACAGTGACATACTTTGTATACATACCAGAAACTGAAGGTAAAATTCTGGATGAGTTTATAACAGAGTCAAATAAGCTACCGCTTTGTTTCTAAGATCACAGCTGACTCACCTTAGTTTAGGAAACTCCTCATTGAAGTCCCTAGAGATACGAGGAGTGCACTCTCTCACAGCCAGTATCTTGGCTACAATGTCGTTCTTTTGCCATCGTCCACGCCAGGTCTCGCCCGAGGGGGATACAGCAATACGAGTGTGTAGTGAGAGATCTGAGATGTTGATACCTTTGTGACGAGACAATGTAGCATCACCTGTGACAACAAGTTTCTTATAGGCTAATACTCGTAAAGTTTTGACAATATAAAAAAAATTTACAGATAGGGCCTACATCATCTCAATCACTACTAGATGCTTGCAAAAAAATCTTAATTTGCAAATTATTCTCAAATACTTACGGCTTCGGGTCTTAAGTCCAAGCCAGCTTTGGTCCTTGAAGTTAATTTTCTTCAAGTCCTGTCCAGTCTCAACAGCCAAATCTAAAAAGATTAGAATACAGTAGTATCAAATGTATACATAGGTATATAAAGGATCTGTGCATTAATTAGTTATCTTTTTATTTCTTTAAAAAAGACATACTTTTACCAACTATTCAAGCAAATCATCATTAAGGTACAATTTATAATTGAACACTTTGGTAATCAGTAAAGAAAAGTCTTATTTGCGTGCGAGAGAGTGAGAATAACATAGGCCTATCCATTTGCCACAAGGATAGGTCTACTGGAGAAAATTACCTTCCATACTCAACAGGTTTTTCCTTTCCTCATCTACACTTTGAAATGGGAAAAAAACTTACTTTGCTCTCTAAAGATACTACTAGCCAATATGTTTTTAGTAAAATAAGTTAGTTGGACCTTTTCTATCGCTTAGTGTTTGGATACCATGTAGCCCATCAGGAGGTACAGAAAATCCTCCAAGTTAAGCAATAAAGAGGGCCAAACTGTCAAACTATTTTACTTTGAAAAAGTATCCCTCACAATAATGAACTTTAAAAACATGTTTCATGTGTTTACTAACCATGTAGCCGTTTGGCCAAAGGCCCCCGTGCCTTGTCAAGCGGAGTGTCACCGTCTTTATTAGCCAGAGACGCTAGAGCACCTTGTGATATGAGGTCCTCCGCGAGTTGTTGGTAGCCCCAGAAACATGCATAGTGCAGCGGCGTGTTTCCGTGCTCGTTTGTGAAGTTGATGTCCGCACGATTACGCAACAACTGCAAAAATTAATTAAACTTTAAAATGGTTTCTCAAATCAGAATCAATTTGAAATTGTAGGCATTTCTATTCTAGTTGGTTGTATTAGAATATGTTTTGCCAACCTACCAAGATGATTAAGTTAGAGACTAAAATTAGTGATATTTCTGAAATTCAATTTAATTTGTACCGGTATATGCCTTAATTCATTTTTACAAGATTTAATATGTGTAATGGTTTTTTATGATTATACCCTAACAAACCACAAATGATATCAGAGAGTAGGCTATCTTACATACCATATGGACAATTTCTCGATGACCATGTGCAGCAGCCAGGTGAAGAGGCGTATCGTCTCCGCGATTAGTGGCATTAACTCGGGCACCACGCTGAAGCAGCAACTCGACAATTTTAGTGTGCCCTTCTTTAGAAGCCCAGTGCAACGGACTGAATCCATGATCATCTCTAAATTAAAATGGTAAGTTATTAATTAAAGAGTTAAACATTTTATAAACCTGGGATTGACTTGAACCATAGGCAAATAGAATGTTGACCGTCAGCTGTGCTGCGGTTAGCAGAAGTTCTGGCGTCTACCACTAGGTTTGCCGTGTAGTTACGGCGCAAACCGCTGCAAGCGGAAATCCCGGCTGTCCCGCTTGCATGCGGCTCATGCGCTTCCCGGAAGCGCAGGAGCCATATGCGACCGTCAGACTCTACAGCGGTGTGCGCCGTAACTACACGGCAAACCTAGCGGTGGGCACCGGAACCTTCCTTTGACAGTCTATATTTATTCTAATTGTCTATGCTTGAACGAATCTAGAAATCCCGGGGTTGGATTAACTTAAAGCCAAATAATCTTTAAGCCAAACTTAAAGAATCAAATTTTTATTTCTTCTTTCTTGTTTTAGACAAAACATGGGCATGCAACTTGGAAGATTTTATCTTAGAAACGTTGGATACTGGTACCAAAGATAATTTGTAAAGTTATTGTATAAGTTATGTTAGTAAAAATAATTAACAGCAGTTTCATAAGTTAAGTGTCCCATAGAACAATTGAATGAAATTTTTGCTAGGGATCGATTATTTCATTTGATAAGTTATGTAACTTATAATATATTTAGAGTTAAACTTAAGTTCTGGTACTGGTACTCGATTTTAACTAAGTTAAGTACTAATTAATATCGTAACTTTACTCTGTAAAATAACATACTGTATTAAGTTAACTTAATCCCTTTCAATTATTGAAGCAAATCAGCCTAGGCCTACTAGTTACAAATTTCAATAATTAGGCCTACTAGGGCCTAGGTTAAAGATTGTACACACTAGGAATATAGGACCGAGCCTATATTATGTTGATTCTATACCATGTGTTGAAAGCAATGACAATCTGAACTTTGGAGAGGCCTTTAATACAAATAATCAGTTCACCAGATGGAGACATGCTAGTCCAACTCATGTATTGAAGGTTATCAAATCCTTCAAGAACTCACATAGTCCGGATGAATGTAATTGTGCTCAAGTATATTGCTGATGTGATAGCCTACCCCCTTTCAGTTGTAATTAATACCTGTGTTGAACAAGGGGTGTTCCCTCGTGTCCTCAAGACTGCACGTACTGTACCAATATTTAAGAAGGGCGACCCTCATCTAATGTCAAGCTACAGACCTATCTCTATTATTCCAGCACTGGCCAAAGTGTTCAAGAGACTGTTATGAAGGACCAGTTGGTGTTCCACTTTGAAAGGAACAAGCTATTCGCAGAAGCACAACATGGATTCAGGGAGCAGAAATCAACATTGAATGCTGTGTTAAAACTGGTCTCTAATATTTTGGACACATTTGAGGAAAGAGGTTCAGTATCCCTTATTCTTGCCGATTTAAGTAAGGCATTTGAGTGTGTTCCTCACAAAGTTCTATTACAAAAATTGAAGAAATATGGTGTCCAAGGACCAGTCCTACATCTGCTGTAGGTACTCCTATCTCCAAGACGGTAACTCTAGCAGATAGTCTCAATACGAGGAGTCTCATCTTCCCCCCTTCCAGTGAGACATGGTGTCCCACAGGGCTCTGTCATGGGTCCAGTGCTGTTTATCATTGTGATAAATGACTTAAGTTTGCTAGGTGATATACTACTCTTTGCAGATGACACCACCAATATGCTCAAGGGGTAAGTCACCAGAAGATGCAAGTCTGAGGGTAAATCAAATTTTCAACAAGGCAAAGGCCTGGTTTGAAATTAATAGGCTAAGCCTCAATGCTGACAAAACCCAAACTATGACATGCAGCCTCAGCCAGGGTTGCCAGCCGTGACGGTGAAACTGTTGGGATTCCAACTTGACTCAAGACTAATGTGGAACGAGCATACAGAAAATGCCTGCAAAAAGCTATCAAGAGTTGTACACCTGCTGCGTAGGCTTAGGCCTAAGCCACTTTTGTTAAAGGAACATCTAACCATAATCTATCATGGGCTCTTTCATAGCCATCTTAGCTATGACCTGTAGCTGTGTAGCTTCTCCAGAAAAAAGCTGTAAGGGTAGCGTGGTCGGCCGACTATCTAGACCACTGTAGGCCAATTTTTCGGCAACTGGGAATCCTCACTGTGTACAGCAATTATATTTTTGTAAGCCTACTACACGTCAAGACAAACATAACTTAAACACCTTTTGTACAAGAGCGGAGATGCATGGCCTGAATCTTCGACATGGCATCAGATTAAACCTCCCGTACTGCAGACTCACAAAAAAGGACTGTTTCCCCCACCTGGCCCTCAAGATGTTCAATAGGCTGCCAGCTGGAGTTAAATCCCTTGATGACAATAATTTCAAGACCAAAATTAAGTCCTGGCTCAATGGTAGAGCATATTACTCACTGAAAGAGTTCTTCAAGGACAACTTTAGCGACCTCGTCTAGCCAAACAAACCATTGACGCAATCAATCCAGCAACGCTGGTCGAAGATGAAGACTTCAATTATCAAGTAACTTAGGCTAACTTAAGTATGTTTTAACTCAAATTTTAATGTAAGTTAAAACAGATTCAGAGGAGTGGAAAGTTCACACAAAATTATTTTCTGTAGCATGCACCTTACCAATAATGTGCTAAAATAGGCTACATAAGTTTAAAAATTCAATGTCATAAGGAGGTGGAGCATATAAGCATGTCCTTATAAGGTTATATCCATTTGATGCATGGACTACTTGGCATTTAAAGATTGTTTTAATAGATTGTTATGGTTCTTAGCAAAATTTAAAATTTACTTTGGTCTGACTGTAGTTTGTGACAATTATTAGCGAAACATTGAGTATAAATCTAGCTTTACTGTATCTCATAGGCCTACCCTTGGTTCATGTCATTTTCAGTATCATCCAACCAAACACGGACTTGCATTGCATTTCCTTCCCTGCACCAATGAAAAATATCTTCCATTTTGATTTGAGGATTTAAAATTTCAAAAGTCGAAAAATATTGTTTTAATGAAATAAATGCACAAATGAAAATGAGTACACTCCCAAAAATAAACAACCAATTTCATTCGATCATTCCACTAGACTAGGTTTGTTTTGCTAGTGCTGCCATCTCCCGGAGAAATTGCCAACTACCAACTACAACTACTAGGTAGGTGTTTCTAGCAGACCGCTTGAAGCAGCTGCAGCACTTGTCTGATTGTTGTGTTGTGAGGTTGACGTGACAGCTGCTGCACTCTAGTAGGAAAATGTATAACTATTGTTGCTGGTTGGTGTTGGTTTGGTTTGGAGTTTGGACTTTTTGTTTGGTCTTGGTTTGATAGCCTTCTTTCACTAGCTGTCCGAGACGAGGGGTCGAGGTCCGAGTAGGGCTAGGGTATTCACTCAAGGGAGGTATAGAAGAGCCTTCGATGAAGTCAGCTGTAGATATCTTATCTTGAGGGAAATAAAATGAAATGAAATGAAAAATGATTTATTTAGTCAGTCAGGCAAAGTTAGGGCCACATGGCCCTCTCTTACACTTAACCTGTTTATACAAATCTAAACATATAATATACAATACATATACAATACACAATACAAATACTATAATCTATTTACAATATTTAATGAGACAATAAACAATAAACTTTTAAAACATACCACCTTACAAAACACCCACACACAAACACGCACACCTGTCAGTGATCAACCAAGCGCACGCCTACGAAATACCAACCATGGCCATACGTCCAGAAAACAGATTTTTTAGTGCTGTCACAAACCGGGGACGGCTATCAAGGGTTTTTTTATGGCTAGAGGGAGATCATTCCAAAGGCGACAAGCAGAAACAACAAACGCTCTGTCATAAACTGCCGTTCTAGATGAGGCATACGCAAAAAAGTTACTGAAGCAGAACGTGAGTTTTTTACACTTTCTTCAGCTACAAATTTAAAGTCGTTTAAAAATATTTTGGAAATTTTGTTTTTAATATTGAATAGGTTATCATAAGAATTTTTATTGATCTTATAGCTTAGGTCACAACACCATTAGGGGGGAACACCATTAACGCAACGATACGGTACTGAGTCATCGGACTCAATGGTGTAGTGGAAGCGTTTCTGATCTGAGTGCCAAATCTAAGTGCCGGGTTCGAATCTTGCTGGTAGCATTAACTTTTTGTCTACATCTTTTCATTATCAGCAAGTTTGGTTGGTTTGGTTAGGTTATGCCAGTTTGATTTTATAATTAAAACATTATAAAATTAAATTTAAGCCATTTATAGTTTTATTTTATGAAAAGAACAATTTTTTTAAATTACCAAAACCTTCATTGGTTTTTTTCATTATCAGCAAGTTTTGTTAGATTATGACAGTTTTTACAATTTTGTAAAATTAAAAGATTAATTTTATAATTTTTCTTAATTTTATAATTAACTTATAGAGATATAAAGTTAATGCTTATAGTGACATAAAAATTACTGTGCTCTCTACTACAGCGCTGTTCACGGAGGAATTTTGAACTAAACTATGATTTCATCGTTGCCTCATTTGCTCATTTATACCTCCCGTAAGTCAGACCCACTGGCCAGGCCAGGCCACTGCTCAGCGTTTATCCAGTTGTTACTGACTAGCAGACGAGTTTGTGTATTGTGGAAATAATAGATGATCTACATCTAGTCTTTAGAGGACCAAAAAATATCAGAAATTAAGTGAAGTGGAATTCAATAGGCTTACACATTACACACGGACACGATACACGAACCGAACCGACCATGGCTGCAGTAGGAGAACCATTATCTCTTGCTAGAGGTAGGGGCCTAGTAACCTAATACACCAGCTTAGTGTATTCGTATTGTTGTTTTAGTTATCAGGGCTAAAAAGAAACTGTACCAGTAACTACGGCCTAGTTATTCTTTAATTTTGTTAATTTTCATAGGTCCGTGAAGTTGGCGTACCCATATTAGCGTATCCACTTTTGATCATACCAATCGTTAGTTCATCGTTAGTTCCCAAATTTTTTCGTTAGTTCTCAAAAAATAAAAAAGTTATAGCCGATAATAAGTGGGTACGCTAACTTCACACTTCCGGGTTCTAGCGCGCGCCGTTTTCTGATGAGAAATGTTTACATCTATATATCAATCGTCAGTTCTTCGTTAGTCCTCGATAGTTCCCAAATTTTTTCGTTAGTTCTCAAAAAATAAAAAAGTTACGAGGCATACAAAGTGGGTACGCTAACTTCACAATTGTACAATTTCCAGCGGGCACAGTTTTCTGACTATAAATGCCTATATACCTATATACCAATCGTTAGTTCCTCGTTAGTTCTCGATAGTTCCCCAATATTTACGTTAGTTCTCAAAAAATAAAAAAGGTTACGAGGCATACAAAGTGGGTACGCTAACTTCACAACTATACAATTTCCAGCGGGCACCGTTTTCTGACTATAAATGCCTATATCTATATACCAATCGTTAGTTCTTCGTTAGTTCTCGATAGTTCCCCAATATTTACATTAGTTCTCAAAAAATAAAAAAGTTACGAGGCATACAAAGTGGGTACGCTAACTTTACAACTATACAATTTCCAGCGGGCACCGTTTTCTGACTATAAATGATTATATCTATATAACAATCGTTAGTTCTTTGTAAGTTCTCGATAGTTCTCCAATATTTATGTTAGTTCTCAAAAAATAAAAAAAGTTACGAAGCATAAAAAGTGGGTACGCCAACTTCACAATTATAGAATTTCCAGCGGGCACAGTTTTCTGACTATAAATGCCTATATCTATATACCAATCGTTAGTTCTTCGTTAGTTCTCGATAGTTCCCCAATATTTACGTTAGTTCTCAAAAAATAAAAAAAGTTACGAAGCATAAAAAGTGGGTACGCCAACTTCACAATTATAGAATTTCCAGCGGGCACAGTTTTCTGAATAAAAATGCTTATATCTATATACCAATCGTTAGGTCAGCTTCAACTCATCAGGTGCAATTTTTTAAATTTTTTTAGAACTAACAAATATCGGTGAGGTATCAAGAACTTACGATTAATATTAAGATATCTCACTTTTAGTCAGACAAGGGTGCAAGCTAGGAATGATTTGGGTGTGAGGTTGGCATAACCACGTTTAAGACCTTATTCCCTTTTTATATTTAAGAACTAGCAATAATATTGGGGAACTAACAAGAAATATCGAAGAACTAAAAATTGGTATATAGATATAAGCGTTTTAAGTCAGCGTACTCATTTTGTATACCTCGTAACTTTTTTTTTTTTAGAACTAACGTAAATATTGGAGAACTATCGAGAACTAACAAAGAACTAACGATTGGTATATAGATATAAGCATTTTTAGTCAGAAAACGGTACCCGCTGGAAATTCTATAATTGTGAAGTTGGCCACTTTTTATGCTTCGTAACTTTTTTATTTTTTGAGAACTAACATAAATATTGGAGAACTATCGAGAACTAACAAAGAACTAACGATTGTTATATAGATATAATCATTTATAGTCAGAAATCGGTGCCCGATGGAAATTGTATAATCGTGAAGTTAGCATACCCACGTTGTATGCCTCGTAATATTTTTTTTTTTTTTAGAACTAACGTATATATTTGAGAACTATCAAGAACTAACGATTGGTATATAGATATAAGCATTTTTATTTACAAAACTGTGCCCGCTGGAAATTCTATAATTGTGAAGTTCGCGTACCCACTTTTTATGCTTCGTAACTTTTTCATTTTTTGAGAACTAACGCAAATATTGGAGAACTATCGAGAACTAACGAAGAACTAACGATTGGTATATAGATATAAGCATTTATAGTCATAAAACGGTGCCCGCTGGAAATTGTATAGTTGTGAAGTTAGCGTACCCACTTTGTATGGCTCGTAACTTTTTGATTTTTTGAGAACTAACGTAAATATTGGGGAACTATCGAGAACTAACAAAGAACTAACGATTGGTATATAGATATAAGCATTTTTATTCAGAAAACTGTGCCCGCTGGAAATTCTATAATTGTGAAGTTGGCGTACCCACTTTTTATACTTCGTAACTTTTTTATTTTTTGAGAACTAATGTAAATATTGGAGAACTATCGAGAACTAACGAAGAACTAACGATTGGTGTATAGATATAAGCATTTATAGTCAGAAAACGGTGCCCGCTGGAAATTGTATAGTTGTGAAGTTAGCGTACCCACTTTGTATGCCTCGTAACTTTTTTATTTTTTGAGAACTAACGTAAATATTGGGGAACTATCGAGAACTAACGAAGAACTAACGATTGGTATATAGATATAGGCATTTATAGTCAGAAAACTGTGCCCGCTGGAAATTGTACAATTGTGAAGTTAGCGTACCCACTTTGTATGCCTCATAACTTTTTTATTTTTTGAGAACTAACGAAAAAATTTGGGAACTATCGAGGACTAACGAAGAACTAACGATTGATATATAGATGTAAACATTTCTCATCAGAAAACGGCGCGCGATAGTACCCGGAAGTGTGAAGTTAGCGTACCCACTTATTATCGGCCATAACTTTTTTATTTTTTGAGAACTAAAGAAAAAATTTGGGAACTATCGAGAACTAACGATGAACTAACGATTGGTATGATCAAAAGTGGATACGCTAATATGGGTACGCCATCTTCACGGACCTAATTTTCATACCTATAACTTAGCCAACGTCTAGCCTAGGCTATTTGTTTTGGTTGAATGTTGATAGTTTCATTGGTATCAAAAATTGTTATTAAAAAACGTAAACAACCCATAAATTAAATTCAGTGTTTAATTTTTTTTTATATTGGAGAAACAATAGGTAGCCTAACTTATATCCAAACGACGCGGGATCTCGTCCACATCACAAATCGTCTCCTCTTCAGTATCCCTTCGTTCACACCAGGTCGTCTCCTAGTCACCATCCCCTTCGTCCACACCACATGCCATCTCCTCGTCAGCATCCCTCTCGGCCACATCACATGTCGTGTCCTCGTTGAAGGGCATAGAGCCAGAGATTGGCCCAATGTCCAACACGGTTTGCTCCGTGGAATCCATTCGGTGATCCGCCAAGTGGTCCAAGACCATTCTGTCCTTCTCCACGTCATCCTGCCTGCTGCTAAGCATCGTTCCAATGGCATTGACTCTGATCTCCAAACCACTTGATTCATCAGTCACTCCATCTTCCAGCTTTGGATATTTGATAGTTTCAATGACAGAATCTGACTCTAATGGTCCAACTCTTGTATTAAATTTTGAATGTTTTTGAGTAAATTTTCTTATTGAGGACGTAATTTTATTGTCAATATCTGCCAAATAAGTATCCATTTTTTCTGACTGATCCTGTACTTACGTGTTAAAATCTTCTCTAGAAAGAAACTCACCGGGTCCGCTGCTCGTGGTTGCTGTACCAACTGCGTAGTTCCTCCTACCAGTGATGGCAACTCGCAGGTGTCTTCACCTTCTCCCTTAAGATCCAGACGAAGGCGCCTCTCCAAATCACATCCGCCTCCCGAAGCCGTTAGCCTAAGTCCCTCCAGAGCTTTCCCCTGCATTGCCGTTGAATCATCTTCTAGTTTTGTCATTTCTTAGCCTATGTCAGTCCTGTCACGGTCGCCAATTGTAGTCGTCACTGATACGCGATTCACGATTAATAGTGATATCACGGACGGTTTAGGTAGGGCCTAGTAAAATTAATAAAAATGACAAAATACTTGATAAATTTTAACAGAAGAAAAATGAGCTTGTGTTCAATGCAAAACAAAACAACAAACTAAACTTTATTTAAATTAAACATTAGGCTACAAGTCTAAATCACTTACAAAGTGATATAATAGATTGTTTTTACGAAAAACTACTGAAAAATAAGTGATTTGTATATTTTTCCCGTGTAGTGGGTAAAAAAGGCCTTAAAAATAATAATAAATAAAAAGGCCTTTATTTGCAAGCGAGTTTCATCAACTCATTTCAGCATTATTTTCAAGTCAACTCACTTAAGTCAAACTAAAACTAAACTAGTAGCTAATATTTAAACACAAATATAATATTAAAATAACTATTAAGAAATAACATTTACATTTTAATTTTTTTTATTTTCATTTTAGAGGTTAGCTTAGGTTAGCAAATGACAACTCATTTATGAAGAAATAAGGATGTTATGGCATACCAACAAAAAAAGCACTTATAATATTATATTATTATTATATTATAATATATATTATTATAAATTATAATATACGAGCTGGTGGCCCGCCCTACGCACGGGAATCGAGTTGCCAATTAAAACGGAATAATTTAGAAGATCTAGTTTACACGCATAGAGACAAATTCTGACAGTTATAATGGGTACGATCACCATATAAACAAATGTCACGTGACCACCTATTTCTTCCATCCGAATATAGACCTATAATATAGCGATATGCATTTTAAATCCGATAATTTTACTATAAAACAGCATTTGTTTCGATTTGAAAAATCTTGGAAGTGAGATTGGCGGCCGATTCACACTGGTTTTGAGTAGAGTAGCTACATGCCACCTCCAATTGCATAGACTACTTATGTACTTACCATAACTTATCTTACCTCCGTGACCACTGAAACCTTATGAGATTCTTGCCTCCCATTCTCTTCTATCCCCTGCCTCTTCAAAATTTAGATCCCAGTCTGAGGATGCATTTCATAACTTGGTATTTACCGTCTGTCTTGCGGTACTCCTTTAGATTATAAATCCTTTCCTAAATTGTATTTATTATATCTTTTATACATGGAGCAATGAAATGAAAATAAGTTTTGGATTTATTTTTATTTTTGCTGACATATAAATTCTACATAGGCCTAAATTTATATTCACCAATACCAAGGGCTTAGAAGGTTAAACCATGTTAAACTCTTTGACAGTTAATATCTCTACATGGAGAAAGAAAGCCTAGAGGTGGGAAGTATCTATTTAAGTGTATTATAAGAGTGCAAAGTACGTCATTGCTGTTAGAGAAATTTAGATGGGCACAAGAAGCTTTAGCTGAGAGCGGCCCTACATTTCGAGTGAGGCAATGACTGTTTGTACCTGTAATAAGCCAAAGATTTTTCCTACAACCATAATTAACTTACCGTAACACACAGATTATCTTTTTAGTTGTAGATCTTTAAAACGTCATTTAGGTTAGAATTGCTTTTTTAGCACATGTTATTTGATTACCGGATGTTGGAGGTTTTATGTAAATGCCAACAGTTAAATCAGCTGATTTAGCAATCAGTGAGCAAGAACGAATCAAGCGTAAATGAGCTTTTTACAGGTGAGGCAATTTGATCATTTCTATGTAGTGGTAGGAAAGAGTTCATTATAATATCAAGGCTTACTGTTAAGAAAAGCTATTCAGAGTTTTCAATGTAAAAAGAAACTCTCTAAATTAGATATTTCAGCTTGTATATTTTTATTTTTATTTCAGATGTCAACAGAGCTGTAGAACTTTTGGAGAAGCTACAAAAGAGTAAGTAATGTCTGTAAAATATATTTCCTTATTTTTTTAATGCAGACATGTTTATTTTTATAAATAAATTCTTTTCTCCTGCAATAGGCCTACACCCTTGAATAATTAAACGACTATTTCACTAAACCTAAAATAACCTAAAATTTTATGGCGAGTATCCATCACCATAGTTGATCACAAGAAATGCTGTGATTAGCTTTGAGAATCATGGAATTGAAATTAGTATCCTAACACAACTTTCTTTTAAGTTTATGTGGAGAAAACTTAACTAAATATTGAGTCAAAAGCATCAATTGAACAGAAAATATAGGTTGATATGATTGAAAGGTCTACTTTACAGAGCTTTGATTGTCTCAGGTGGTGAAGTGCCAGTGACCAAACTAGCAGCCCTCCAGAAGGTTCTACAAAGCGACTTTCTCAATTCAGTCAGAGAAGTATATGAGCATGTATATGAAACGGTGGATGTACAGGTAATTGGCAAATTTTCCAATGTAATGTCCAAACCAAATCTAAATCTATGGAATAGAAATTCTTTTGTCCCTACCTCACTTCCTAGGGCTTTAGACCAGAACCATGCTGCACATTACCTCAGGATAGGCCTAGGGGTTGTGGCATTATCACACTTAGATGAAATTAATTGGTGATTGGCAGGGTGGCAGGATTTGAACCTGAGACCTCAGTGACCAAAGTCCTGTGCTCGACCACCCCCTGACAATAAATAAATCTATAAGATAGAAATAAAAAACTATTGCTTGGTACTTTGGTATTACATTGACAAAACCTACACAGGGTTGGTTACGTTGTGTTGTAAATTTCCAAAGTGGGGTGTTATCGAAAGAGTACAAAGCCATTTCAGGTTCATTGGTACACTGTTTTAGTTTGAGCAAAAACTCTGTTGCAAATTGCCTCCCACTCCTAGACAAATCCCCAATTTGTCACCCATCATTGCAACCAAGCCCTATTTTATACATGGACAGAATGGGCTCTAGACCAGAGTGCCAAATTTCCAATTTTTTTAGATTATTGTTTTAAACTAATAATACTTGTTCAACAACTTGTGTTGTTGGAACAATTGTACCCATCATACAATTGTTCCAACAACACAAGTTGTTGAACAAGTATTATTAGTTTAAAACAATAATCTAAAAAAATTGGAAATTTGGCACTCTGGTCTAGAGCCCATTCTGTCCATGTATAAAATAGGGTTTGGTTGGGAGGTAGTAATTATAAAAAAAAACTGTTGTCATTGCAAAAACAAGCTATAAAAATCATGTACAATGTTGATTTTAGAGTACACACAGTAAACCATTATTTAGGGAGGCTAATATTTTAACTGTACAAGCAATGTATATTTTAGACTGCCTTGTGTATGCAAAAAATAGTTTTTAGTAAAACAGGCACACATGAATATGTACACAGTTGCAACACACGAAACCGCTGCAATATTATATCTAGACAGTGTCGATACAGCAACACAGCTACTAGTTTTATTGAAGTCCAAACAGTATTATAATATGTTACCCTATAGAATAAGATGTTTTAACTGTTCTAAATTTAAAAGAGTACTTAAAAACTACCTATTAAACCCGTGTCTGTATAGAGAAATAGACTTCATAAATTATGTTAAATTTAACCTTAGTTAGAACCTTAGTTCTAAGACATTTCCTTGACTGTGCCATGCATGTAAACCAGTTAAACGGCAATAAAGCACTCTTATTCTTATTCAAATAAATCCAAAGAACTAGTTTTTAAGATCAAAAGGGAGTTCTCAATGAATCCAGTGCTGCTGACTACACAAATAGTTTATTTGGGAATACTGATCACTCGGAATTGTCATTTTCATTGGTTTTTTGATAGTTTGGAGTTGTGAGAGCTCTGGGTAACAATCCAACAGAATTCTTAACAAAATTACTCAGAACTGAGAATATTCTATTTAGTTTACCCGTGAATACTGATGGCTTGGAATTGTGAGTGATCGGAATCATAATCCATTTAGCTTTGGGAATTCTGATAATTCCGAACTAATTTATACATAGGCTATTATAGCTATAGCCTCTATTTAATCTAATTCTGAGAACGATACTTGGAAACAAAATACTCTAAATTATGGAATAATCTCTTAGGCCCATCTAGATTGAATTACTACTTCAGTAACCAAAGTTAATGATTATCTAAGTTTTATTGCGGCTTCAGGGCTCCCAAGATGTACGAGCGTCAGCCACCGCCAAAGCAACGGTTGCGGCGTTTGCTGCCAGCGAAGGTCATGCTCACCCTCGTGTGGTAGAACTGCCCAAGACCGAGGAGGGGTTGGGCTTCAACGTGATGGGAGGGAAGGAGCAAAACTCTCCTATCTACATCTCGCGTATCATCCCTGGTGGTGTGGCCGACAGACACGGGGGTCTCAAGAGGGGGGATCAGCTGTTGTCTGTCAATGGCGTGGTGAGTAGCTTTAGAACCTTAGTCACTCTTGTAAGGTTTTTAATATTATGGAAATGCATGCAAACACTAGGGAAACTAAGAAAACCGGGAGTTGTTCCACTCTTTGTATAGCATTAATAATAATACCGGTATTATAACACATTTAGCCATCACAATTATTATATAGAATTCAATTTTACAAATTGATTTACAGTTCACAACCAGCGGTGTAACTAACGCCAATGCAACCGATGCGGTGCATTGGGGTTCAGGCCTTAGGCTGCTATTAGCCGTGAGCAACTGGTGGCGCAACTAGTGGTGACACCGGTGTTCCACAGCCTTTCGGAACCTTTCAGTATTATTTCAGTAACCACGACTAGTGTCCCTGTCGTGCGGTTCAGTAGTGTTATTTGTTTTATAACAATATAAAACAAATTTTGTCGGTGTATTTGTTATACAATTAAAATTAGTGGACTGTTTATTCGGTGTGTTTTTTTTTGTGGATTTTGTTATTATATACTGAACAAAATGTAATAAAATTTTGTACAAAAACTCATCTTGTAAAAAAAATAAATCAAACTTTGAGAAACGGAACATGAACATTATATTGTAGCTTGCGATATCATCTATACTGGGTAGGGCACTGATTAAATATAAAATAATAAGTAAAGTGAGAAGTAGTCTATATTTTATCGTTCTAAAAGGACATAAATTAATTTTAAGTATGTAATTGTGATCCTTACTTCAGTGATGTTAAATGATGTTTGAAAATGTTTAGTAACTTAATTTTACTTTAAATTAATTTGTTTGGATAATATGTTTTTGATTACCTAACTAAAATTACTGTACATAATAAATTATATTTCTTTGAATAATCCAACCAATGCAAACAACCAAAATTAGTAATTCTCCTTTCTAAAAGGTGTACAAACCTTTTCTTATTTCTGTATATCATTGGCAGTCAGTGGAAGGTGAAAATCACGAGAAGGCGGTGGAGTTACTCAAGCAGGCAGTGGGCTCTGTGAAACTCGTCGTCCGCTACACTCCCAAGGTGCTTGAGGAGATGGAGATGAGATTCGATAAGCAGAGAGCTGCACGCAGGAGACAACAGTATTAGAGTGTGTCAAATGATTAGCATTCATGTATTTGTGACTTTATTTTACCTACCAAAATAGTAGAAAACTCTTGTCTTTCCCCCAAATAGTGTACATAAAATGCAATTCAAAGTTCGCTGGTTTGATCCTGAGGAAGGTTTGGTTGCTTTTTGATGGTTTGTAACTGGACCCAGCTGTCCTTGATCATTGGGTTTAGCCAGTAACCAAGCTTTACAAGGCATCTCACTTCATTCTAAACTCATTCACTCATATTTGGGTTAAAAGACACACCTTGGTGATGTCCCCATCTTAATTGGTAATATAAAACATCTGAAATTAGATCCATACAACGATAAATTATCAATGAAAAATTGATTGATGATACGTGCTTTCTAATCAATTATATCGATTATTTAAGATGGGGATGCCACTAGTTGTGTATTTTAACCCAAAAATGAGTGAATGACGCGTTTAGGATGAGTGGCGCGATCTTGTTGTCTTGTTACTTGTTAGTGACTAAATGTGACACGTTTCTTAGACAAGCTGGTAATTAATAGTCCATACAGTCAATGGCAACTAAGGGACCTACAGTTTATAGTGGAATCCGAACCACGTATCCATTACGGTAATATTAATCCTCGTAGCAATTAATTGGATTATTCATAATATGTATTTGTAGCAAGGTACCAAATGTCTGTAATTTTCAGTTATGAATTCATAAGAAAATTGTTGTCTAAAAGTTACATATTGATCAGTTACTTTTATCAGTTAATTTGAATTGTTTTTTTTAAATTTATTTATGTATTATTTTGAAAAGATACTTTCACAGAGTGAGTTTGTAAAACCATTTTAACCGAAACCATTTTAATGCAAAATACATTAATTTGCAAATTTTCCCAGTTTTTTTTAAATTTTGTTTTTATTATTGCCTACACTAATTGGATTTTGTTTTAAAGGGATTGGTCTGTTTGTAAGGAGTTCTAATATTTTTAATTAAAATACAGATTGGAAAGAACCAGCTTTAAATAGATCTTGTTGTGTCTTAAGAGAAACTAGAGAAGTTTTTGGTCCAATATGGATCTTTGGTTTAACCCCAATTAACAATAGTTTATCAATCTATGTATTTAGGGTGTTCATTCATGAATCTTCTAATGTTAATATTTGTTTATTTTACAGTGCGGTATGTCACTTAAGGCCGGCCACACACAGAACCAGGCAAGGCTGGGCGCGACAGGGCATTTTGCCCCGGGGCGTCTTGTGCGACGGGAATTGCACAGGCTCTTATGGAGCCCCACACACAGGACCGGGCGAGGCAGGGCACGTCAAAAAGACGCCCCAGGGCAAAATGCGAAGCTCTCCAAAATTATGCCCCGAGGCAAGTCGATGTCGGGCAGAACTTTCTGCGCATGCGCGTTCATGTGATTTATTCCCTTTCGGGCAAATTTTGATAAGGATTATTTTACAACTGATAAAATTTACATATAAGACTGTACAGTAACAATTTATACACACCCTTTGATCTATACAAGTCGTAGTGAAGTAGTGATATTACTACAGTGGTTGAATAAATAATAATTTATCTTGGTATTGATAACTGAGGAAATAGAAGGCCAACGTTCATATCTTAAGGGTTAAAAAAAAAAACTCTTCTGGAAGTATGGCTGTTTGAATTTTGTTTCCTATTCTGCTCCCAAGTATAAAGTCCAATTTAAACGTTTGTTAAATCGGCTTAAGGCTCAGAAATAAAAAATCCTATGTTAATTTTCAGGTTTATGGGGGCTAAACTTTTTACTTGACGTGCCCCGCCTCATTCTGTGTGTGACAGCAGCAAGACAGGGCTTAAGTCAGGCGTCTCGTCGCGCCCTGTTGCGCCCCGCCTTGCCTGGTTCTGTGTGTGGCCGGCCTAACTTGACCTTAGAGAGTTCTATCCAAGCCTCCTATTTTTAATTTACTTATAACCTCATCTTGTCTTCTGTTTATTTTTAATCTGCTTTGTGTAAGCAAGTGAAAGTTTCTACAATTTGTTAGTCTCTATTTTGCATGTTTCATATTTTTTAAATAAATTAATTGTTATTTTATACATTTTGTAGTTTATATTATGACTGTTACTGATTTTAACTAGTGTATCTCCTATGTGTTCATATTTATTTTAGTGTTGTAAATTTAATAAATTATTGAAATTAAAAATTGTTGATAATGTTTTCCTTGAATATGTTGAGTACCGTATTGTCCTGTTTGAGCATTTTCCCACTAAATGTAGGCCTTGTCATTCCAGGGTTCTTGAAAATATTATCTGAAAGTAATGGTTTATTTGTGACCCTAAGCCTATGTTAACTTTGTAATCAAAGTTATTACAACAATATTAAAACTCACACCATATCTTGTCTCAACCCAAAACCCAATAAGTTCTGTAATTACTAATTTAACAACGGTTAAAGATTGTATGATGCATTTATTTATAAAATGATTGTGGATTAAAAGGTGCATAGATTTCAATAAAGGGTTAATTTTGGAGGTTTAGTGTCCAATATATAAATTTACTAGCTGTAACCCGCGGGCTTTGCCCCGTTTAACTTCTTAATTTTCAAGATTATCTCGTTCGCATGGCTCAATCACGTCCTGGTTGAAGTTTGTTCGCTACGCTCACTCACCTTTAGGTTGGAGCTCGTTCGCTACGCTCACTCACCTTTAGGTTGGAGCTCGTTCGCTGCGCTCACTTGCCTTCAGGTTAGCTCGTTTGCTACGCTAACTCGCCTCCAGGTTGAAGTTCGTTTGCTACGCTCACTCACCTTTTGGCTGCAAATTAGCTGTTGTCATAAATGTAAAAGAAATAATAGTGCTGCACCCTGTTGGTAATCCTTGTAACTTTAATGCTATTGAACATCATAGAACAGAACCAACTTGTTTAATTGAAACAGCTGTTAAGATTCAATAATTCCATTTCTCATAAGGTTAACATGGGAAACTCCAGAGCCACTCCCGAAAGGATTTTTGAAATAAGAATATGCCTATATGTTAATCGGGAATGTGAGCTATCATCATGCCAAATTTCAGCCCAATCCGACCAGTATTTTTCGAGTTTACTTTTCCCATACACACATACAGCAACCACCTCTTTTTTATAATAGTATAGATATAGATAGATTTAAAAGTAAATATCAGCCTGTTACACTCACCCCTTTAAGGAAGAGGTATACAGGGTGTCCCGTAACTCTCTGGACATATGTATATAGCGTTATTCCTTAGGTCAAGACGAAGACAAACACATTTCACCATAGGAACATGGGTCTGTGGGGTCTAGTTTACCGACTGTCGGTATTTATGTGTTTTTTACAAAAAAACTAATAACTCCTAAACGGTTTGAGATACAGCTTTGATATTTTGCAAAAATGTTTATCTTATTAAGACCTTTTATCTTTAGAAATTATACTAAAAAATCATTAACCGTTTCAAAATGGCGGCCATTTAAAATATTTGATGCCAAATTTCACGAAAACCGTTAACTTAACAAAAAAAGTGCAAGAGACAAAAAAGTTTGTAAATTTTATGTAGTTTTCAATGATACCTTATTTGTTAAGATTGGATAAATAATAACAGAGAAATGTCTACTTTTCCAAATGCCACTTTTCTCCATTTAAACAATGCTAATACTCCTTTAACGTTGTTTAGCATTGTTTAAATGGAAAAAGGTGGTCATACATTACGAAAACAACTAGTTTCTCTGTTATTATTTATCCAATCTTAACAAACAAGGTATCATTGAAAACTACATAAAATTTACAAACTTTTTTGTCTCTTGCACTTTTTTTGTAAAGTTAACGGTTTTCGTGAAATTTGGCATAAAATATTTTAAATGGCCGCCATTTTGAAACGGTTAATGATTTTTTAGTATAATTTCTAACGATAAAAGGTCTTAATAAGATAAACATTTTTGTAAAATATCAAAGCTACATCTCAAACCGTTTAGGAGTTATTAGTTTTTTTGTAAAAAACACATAAATACTGACAGTCGGTAAACTAGACCCCACAGACCCATGTTCCTATGGTGAAATGTGTTTGTCTTGACCTAAGGAATAGCGCTATATACATATGTCCAGAGAGTTACGGGACACCCTGAATAAGCTATACCAGGCTGTTTCTGTAAAATGTGTATTATTTATATTTAAGTGTTACAATATTTATATACTAATATAATTTGGTAAATAAGTCATCAACATCCAGCTTTAAACCCAAACCAATATAGTCCGGCAGTGTGTGGGCTAGCAGGGAGGAGCCACCAATAAGAGGTACGATGGATTATTACCTACATACAAAATTTCTTCAAAATCTGACTTCAGGTGGGTGATCTGTAGCTCTGTACACAGACACACGGACAGAGATAACTTCGAAAACCATTTTTTGGGCTCAGGGGGATATATTCACAAAAAACTCTAACTTAAAATTTTTGACGAAAACAATATATTTTCTCCCTCAGTTCACCTAATACAAAGTGGTTTAAATACCTATAATGTCGACAAAAAAATTGAAATAATACAAAGAACGAGGGGGGATAGATGTTTAGATTAATTTATAATTGGTAAGTCTATGTGTTATGATGTCATTCCAGGAGTTTTTTTCTTTTTTAGCGAATTTCCAATATAGGGAATAAGCTATTACCGTAGTACTCATGGTAAGACCTGGACGCGGGACCGATTTTTTGTTTGTTTTGAGGTCCCTAGAGGCCAAAAACACCATCCGTTCAAATTCATATATATATATATATATGTGTGTGTCCGTTAGTACGATAACTCGAGCAAAAATGATAAGATTTTGATGAAATTTGGTACAAACGTGTAAACCTACGTTTATTCGAACGAGTTCGCGATCCAGCATGATCGGATCATGGGAACGGGGGTTTACGGGGGGTTTAATGGGGTAAAAATAGGTTTTCCCATTTTTGACCCAAAAAACCTAAAATTTAGCAATTTCTTTCCAAACCATTTTGTAGAGCTTAAAAAAACAAATAATTTAGTTTATTGAAGCGTTATCATGCGCCTAATGGTTACGGAGAAAATTCAAAAAAATTGTAAATTTAAAATTCCCATGTTTTTCTTATGGAGAATAAGTAAACTGTTGTAGTTTGCTTGTTTATGAACCTATTTTGATCAAATTTGGAAAACATTTTTATTTCTTACTAACTATTAACATTTTACAAAAAAAAAACAGTTTTACCCTCCCTGATGCAGCAAACCCTCCCTCTCAATATATATATATACTTACCCTCAATTATAAATACTTACCCTCAATATATATATATATATATATATATATACCCTCTAAATACTTGTTAAACTAATTCTATTTAAATCGGGAATAAATGTTATATTTTTAAGTAGACATTTCAGTGTAAATCAAATCAGTCTAATGGAAATTCGCTTAGTCTGCAGGTTTGCTGCGGCGGGGGTATTTAAAAATTTTGTTTTTAATGGTGATAACCGAAAAATTTAATTTTCTCGGAAATGGCGCTTACTGGTTTGATAAAAAATAGTATGTAATTGTCCTTTAAATTCTGAACAAGATTGTATAACTTTCATTGCTCTATAAATTTCAGTTCAAAAGTAATTGTAACTTAATTGTGTTATTTAGCCATAAAATAACGGAAAATCGAATTTTTGAAAAATGCCGGTTTCTATTCAAAGTAGTTTTCTTATAATCCTTATAACTCTAAACAAAATAGTGCACCCCACCACCTGTAAAAATTACGGTTCACAAGTTAGTTAATGAAACTTTTGTGAGTTTCCCTATAAAATAATTATACTCCCCACCTCACCTTACTCGGGAGAAAGTATGAGTCAGATTGCTGATCAGATACCGTTTATTTGTCTTGGTCGCAGTCATCAGATTTTTATTGATAAGAGAAATAGGTCGAGATTTTTAGCTTGGCAAAATGTCCAAAATTGGTCTATATAGTGCTATTTCTGTATTAAAATAAAAATGCATGTATATCCTGTATGCATGCTACTGCCTTGTTGATTATAACATGGTTTAGGTAAAGTTATGGAACCTTTTTGATTTTCCCGTAACGCCCTCAATTTGATTTTAAAGTCTGCATATTATTTACTAAAACTATTTAATCATCATTGGAGGTTAACTGTAAGAAAGGACCATAAGGTCCTTTTAGTTCGCCTCAATCTCTGGATGCGAGTTAGCGTAGCAATAGCGAACGAGCTAACCTGAAGACAAGTGAGCGCAGCGAACGAGCTCCAACCTAAAGGTGAGTGAGCGTAGCGAACGAACTTCAACCAGGACGTGATTGAGCCATGCGAACGAGCTCATCTTGAAAATGAACGAGCATTTGGCATGAAATCACATTAGGACAGGACGACGTCTGTCGGGCCAGCTAGTATTCAATAAAGAAGCATTTTCATTTCATTTCAATTATACATAGAAAATTAACTGGTTGTAATATTTTAACTCGTTGGCCATCAAAATATAAACAGAGCAAATTTGTACTCTTTGTTGTTTTTTCCTCTTCAGTCCTCACCTCTCAAGCTGTCTCAAGTTGTTCCAGTCAATCAAGTCCAGTCTAGTCCAATCCACCACGACCAAGGTCCATCTGATTCTGATCTGATCTGATTGTCCGTCCTGTCAAGTCAAAGAGAAGAGACGTCAAGACTCAAGTTTAGTGAAGACAAGAGAGAGTCAATCTTGGTGATTGTGCGTATCAAAACATGAAAGTAGGAGTGTTAAATAATTAGAGGAAACCTTTCTCCGTTTAGAATGTTTTGTTCGACGTAAATATGTGTTTAAACAGCGTAATTGCTTAAAAATTCAACTTTTCTTTAATGTAAAAATACTTGCAGCTTGGAACATGGAAAGCACTTCAAAGTTAAACACAACACCCAATAAAACAACTACTACAGGTAGGCCTATGCAATCAAAACCATAAATCCTAAATTTAAGACAAGAACACTTGGCCTAATGAGGGCCATTAAAATCACAGATCACCATTTATACTCGAATCATTGTTGGTAACATAACAAAACTTGAGTTTGTAAAAAATAAATTTAAGCTTAACAGCCTACACAACGTAGGAAACATATTCCAACAGCCTGGAGGCATGTAGGCCTAATTTAGAATTTACATTCTTGTAAAAAGGTCTTAATTGAAATGAAATGATTTATTGTCGTTAAAACTATGTACAAAGTTCATGACAATCGTCAAAATAAAAACAAAACAATCAAGATGGCTCTGGCAACTAAAATATCTAAAACTCTAAACCAAAGTACTCTTCATGTTTATACAGGCGAGCCTGGGTTAGAGTAGTTTTTAAAACATGTTTGAATTTTAAAACACACAGGTTTTTGATGGATGCAGGCAAGAAATTGTACATTTAAACACCTTGGTACTCAAACTATTTTGAGTGTGGCTGTATACTTATGCCTTAGTGTAGACAGATTATCTTTTGATCTAGTACAGTACCGTAGTTGTGCACATCAGATATCTTTTCAAAGTGAGAAATGTTTTCTTTTACATATAACAAACTTGCCAAAACATACAAAGATGGAAATGTTAAGACCCACTAAAAGGGGCTTACAATGTGTTCTTCTATTCACACTACAAATTAACCTCACCGCCTTCTTTTGTAAAATTGGTTATTGGAAATAGGCTATATTGGCCTTAGGGTAGCCTACTAGGAATGGGTGTGTCTTCACAATTTAGCATTCTAGGGCATGGTAATAATTCCGTATAGGTGCCTCCAAACAAATTTTTAATTTTGATATCTTACTTTATAGTTTTTTAAGTGTACCTCCTGAATCCAAATATACCATTATTTTTCACAGCTGATGGATATTTTTCAAGATATTGCCGTAATAATATACAACATTACAATAAACAAGGTAGGTTGTATGACATTCACAAGTGGATTGAACTATGCATCACTCCCATTACTTATTATTTTGTTTGGTCATTCTACATTACCATTACCATTACCAACTCCTATGTCGTTGCCCAACACTTGTTGGATAGACTGTGTCAAATAAAATTACAGTAATAAAACTAATAAAAAAAATAACAATTCTTATTCAACCAATATTTACAAATAGAAAAACTAGTGATGGCGGTGCATATTATATATTCGAGAAGTACTCGCCAGACACTTCCTCAAAAGAGTACAGCGGCTCATTTGTGAGTTTGTTAAAAATCCGCATGGAGAAAGCTTTCATGTCTACAGATGTTTTGGATACTTAGGCTAGCCTATTTTTATTTTGAAGCTTTTAATCTGATGGGTACACTTCCATATCTGTTGGCACAAACGAATGAGTACTAATACTTCGATCGATTGATCGATTCGATCGATATATCGATTATTCGATATATCGTTTCGTTAGTTAGGTAAGGTTAACCTAGCCTAACAAAACTACATATATATTAACCCTCCGAGCGTCACTCGTCGAAAAATCGACTCACGACACACGAACATAGTTTACGGCGAAGGCTCTATGACTGACTGAATCGGATTGAACTGGATCGAGTTAGGTATCGTTCTTTTCGTCAGATTCTAAGCTTTCTCCAGAGGTCTGTCTCTAAGCGCTTTATGTTCTCTGAGCCAATTGTAATTGTAGCAGACAGCTGATGTGCGTATTTGTAAACAGCTAGATTACCCTCGGACCGATGACTGATGTGTTTTATTAACTTACGTTTATCATTGTTTTAGTGTTTAAAATCAAAAGTAGTGATATACGTGGTGCATTATAAGAAGATTTAAGTGATTTTGAAGGGCTGTTTGATGATCCTGAAGAAGTAGGTAGTGATATTGATGTAAATTATCAGCCAGATTCCTAGCTATGGTTAGGCTATGCATTCTTAGCTAAACGCTATGTACTGAAATCTGTTTATTGCCCATAACTTATTTATTTGCAAATCTACTTCCTTATATTATTATATATTTGTAATCCTCATAAAATTTAGAACAAAGTGGCTATTTTCAAATATTTATAGGCCTATAATTTATACAATTTCATTGAGCGCAAACTTATTTTTTTTTGAAAATTTTCCAAAATATTTTTTTTACCTAAAAAATTTTTTTGAAACAAATGTTCCTTATGTTTTATGTATAATATTGAAGCCCATGATTTTCCAAACAAAATGGTATATAGAACAGTAGAATTAACATTGTTTCAAGCTTCTCAGATCCGTTTTAATAAAACCTTGCAAATGCGCCAAAAATAGGCGGACATTAAGGCCTAAACTATGGACACTCGGAGGGTTAAATTAAACAATCGACTAATCAATATTACTCATTTGGTTGTTTATGCCAACAGATATGGAAGTGTGCCCAATCTGATCCATATAATCTTTCATAAATAACTCAAAGACTCTACTTTAAGTTATTGGTTGTAAATTAATATTCAGTCATAGAATAGGCCCACTGTATGATAACTTAGGCCTACAGTATTGGTAAGTAAGTTAAAGCTAAGTTATATAGGCCTAGCGATGTTAGGTCTATTGTGTTGGTACCCTTACTGTCAAGTTTTACCTGTGCTTCGCAATGGAAAGATGTACTATACCAAACACTTGTTAACTAAGTAGGCTAGGCTAGTCCAAATTTATAAACAAAAAACCACAAAATTTGTAACTTACTAAAAGGTATCATCTACATCGTAATTATCCTACTGTTTACATAAAAATCTTATCAATAACATTTTCATAGCTTAGACACTAAATCGAAAGCAGAGCAGGGTTAATAAGTTAAAGCAATGATTTTAGAATATTTTTTATTATTTCCATAATCAATGACATAAGTTAGTTTTAGAATTGTGAAAAACTCGTTTAGTTTATTCAACTCAGTCAGTTTTTAGTACTATTTATTTTTCTGTGAGTATTTTATATTTTCGTACCTCATGCGATTTTATCCTTGATTTCGAAAAATGGTCAAATTTATCAGTTTTTTAGTAGTGATTTCTATACACTGTACCCCAATGCATGTATAGGGTATCATTATATCGTTTTAGGATAAAAATAATCCATAAAAAAGTAGGTAGGCCTACACACATCTGAAATTCATTGGGCCAAGATGAAACGGTTGTGTAACTTATTATTGAAATGTTGGTTAAAAAATTGGCCATGTCTCACGTCGACCTCTATAATTAGGCTATAAGGAATCCAGACGTCTGAATGATGATTCCTTAAGTAAGGTTAAAATAATTCGTCGTCTTCCTCGGTTATGTTGCGGTCTTCCACCCACATTTGGTGTGACTATGCGTTCAATTTTTACAATTTTTTGAACATATAACTAGCCTATACCTAATTTCCACTTAGTTAAAAATTACATTTTTAAAGTTACCGTAAGTTAAGCCGAAATAAACTAAACAGAATACATGGTATTTATTGCGACTAATGTGACCTTGGGAACCTAACTTATATTGCTATACATCACCAGAAACTAGATTTTTAGCTGACAAAAAAGGTGCAAAAATGTTTAATATTAACGGAGTTACAACTGTTTGAAGTTTTATTTACTTTGTTTTATTGACGTAGGTAACCTATTTGTCAGCCTACGAAATTTTCTCACCAGATAGTTCCTAGCCTATTACGTTAATTCTAAGTGATTAAAGTAGAAGACTCACTTTTTACTAGGAAATAACAGTACAAAAATGTCTCCGAGGCTACGAATATTAACCCTTAGAGTGCCAGGCGAGAAATAAAAGTAACGCTCAAAAAATGCCGATGATTTTTCCCGAAGGTCGCGCTAAAAATGCCGAGCGCGATCTGGCGATTTTTAGGTTAAAATTTTGTAAAAATCGAATTTTCGATATTTCGACCAACGAAAATCGATGTATCGCATCTAGTAACTTTCGACTCAATGTTAATATATGGGTTAAAAGAATCCGAGTATCCATTTAGTTGTTATGGTAACTGTTCGATCATTACGAAACGTCCGGTCAGCCGGACGTTGGCACTTTTGGCTCGTTCTAAAAACGTCCGGTCGGCCGGACGTCGGCACTTTTGGCTCGTTTTAAAAACGTCCGGTTCCCCGGACGTTGGCACTCAAAGGGTTAACTAAGGTGACTTATTTTATCGTTTTGATTTCCATGATGAGGAAATGATTTAGTAGCACAGTTAGGGTAGTGATAATGAATTGTGATCATGATACAGATAAAGTTTTACAAAACTACCTAGCACAGCGTTTTGTGTCAGCTGCGATTTTTGTGTAAATCTAGCAAGCAGGCGATTAGGCCTACTACCCTACTTACTGAGTTGTTTTCATGAGTAGGTACGCTTACTCTTACCAGGCATAAGTATTAACGATTTGTTTCGATGAATCCAAAAATCTTTTGACTGGCATATCAAGGAAACGTTAGCAATTGAGGATCATCTGAAACGTAAGGCTATTCCGTAAGCTCTCAGAACATAATTACCTAGTCAAACAAAACAATAATGGCTAAATAAAACCAGGATGTTTATCACCAAATGAATTGAAGGATGTAGTGTGATGAATATACACTTGCTTATTTGTAGACACATTTTGCTAGAGAGGAAAAGAAAGTTAGGATGAGTTGGAGTTCTATTCAACTCTTATTTACATATGAATTGAAAGATACAACCGAGAAGTGAAATGCCTGCTATCGTTATACTAAATGAGAATATTTTATCATCGTACTGTTTTTAACCTGCATTTAGAATAGGTACCTGTACATCTTTTCTTTTAAACTTTAAGTAAAAACTTCCCCAAAATGGTGTAAACTTCGTTTATAATAAACTAGTTTATTTTTAAAATCCGTTTAAAATGTGTGTTCGGTTTCTCTGACATTTTACTGGCTTCGTTTAAGATAAACGGCAATTCGAGTGGTTGGCAATCCTGAATGTGTTTTGTAAAGAATCTTCGGTGGGCTTTGGGCTAATGTTTCTTACAACGCTCGCTACGCTACGCCACAACTCAGTAGAGCAGACGAGCAAAGTGCGAATGCTGCTAGAATAACATCACTGTTTAAGGTTATGTTATAAAGTTGATTTTTCTTTTACAACAAGAAGAATTCTGTCCCTTATTTTAGTAGGCCCTCTTGTTCTTGGTATCAAAGTGTTATAATCTTCATATTCAACTTCTTCGAAAATGTCAATTAACTCTTCCATTTGAGTTAAGGCAAATACTGCAATTAATAGTAGCATAACTTGCAAAAAAATAAATTTACAAATAAAAAGAACTTAATAAACAAAATAAATTAAAATATAAATAAAACATAACTTAATTATAGGCCTTTACTATATAAGCTAGCCCTAAGCCAAGCCTATTTTTGTCCAAATAAATTTGTTGATGCTTCAATTATTAACCTACCTATTGTTTTGGAATTATTTGAGGTTATGTTACTGTTGTAATTTACTAATTTGAACTCAGTTTATTTTATCTCCAGTAGTTAAACCAAGTCGAGAGGTGGTTTAGTTTGAACATAGATTAATACCTAGTTTAAATTTGGAGAAACACAAATCAAAGTTAAACTAAGTTTAAATCACAGTTTAACTTAAAACTAACTTTAAATGAGTTGGGGAAACCGGGCCTAAAAATTGGCAGTTTTTGTCTTTGATACAAAATAAATTACCATTATTATGAACTGAAAACCACACCACTTTTCATTTTATTTTAAACTGTACTTCATAAATACATTTACATGCTGCACTTTGTTCAGCATTGGTTGTGGTGAGAGTTTGGACGCAACAGCTGTTACAAATTATCAGACGATTTTCATGCAGTTTATTAATGGCTGTGATTTAAAAATGTTATCCGTATTATTTTTTGTCGATCGGCTAATATAAAAGGTAGTTAATTTAAAATTAAAAAGTTAGTTAGGCCTATATAGACTAACATATTTAAATATGTTATTTTAACAGAAACAGTACAAATGAAGGTTTTACAGTTAATGCTTGTGTTACATGTGACATTCAGTGGTCAGAATTACAGTTATAGACTCTTGGTATTTTCCAGCTGGAGTGCACAATGACAATGAAGATCCTTACCCAAGCCTGTCCGACTGTCATGATTACGAACCCAATTTGGAGTTTGATGACACCGAACTACAACACACGGCAGGAGCTCCAGGTAAGGGAATCATACTTTTAACATGACACAGAATAAGATTGTTTTCTGTTAATATAATCTATTAGCCTGTAGTTTAGGTCAGTGGTTCTCCAACTATCAGTATAGTTTAATAGTCGTTGCCAGAAGACACTGATTCTACAATAAGTTACTGGGGAAGCTTTAACTTAATCCAGGAAGATTAATATATGTTTCGGTCATTTAATGTGTTTATTGGCTCGCTGTTTTTAAAACGAACATCAATAGGCCTAATCTCACATTTTTCCCACTCTCTTGTTCCAGAACTGTTACAAGATGACATACTGTCGCTGGGTGGAGGTCTGGACTATCTGGAGTCACCCGTGTCGGACGGAACCATCGAGGACAACTTTGAGGCAGAGTTGTTGAATGCTCCGACGAGGGCATTCGATAGTCTGTCTTATCCTTATGTCGATGAGGAGGAGGAAGAAGAAGACTTCAGCGATGTGTCGATGTACGGCATCGTGGAGGTTATGGGGGATGATACTGCAGGACGGAGAGTCATAGTGGTGTCAGCCTGTCGTCTGCCCAGCAACAAGGAGCTGGACCACCAGAGATTACTTAGGTAGGGTACATGTATATATAGACAAACTACAGTAGAGCCTCAATAACAAGAAAATAAGACTTTTATTTATGTAGATGAACACAGTTGAATCTAGCTACAGAGTTTGCTGTCAAAATTAACACTGTTTCTCTAGTTTTCTGAAAGAGTGGTGTTCGTTGTGGCATAAAAGACACTAAAAGCCACTTTTAGCCTACAATAAGGTTTGGTTTAAATTTGGCTTTGTTCATAAATTGACTTAAGAATTCAAAAGAAACCAATAATTGACGTCAGCTTACTCTGTTGGCTTAATTGAACTATAGAACGTAGAACGTAGTAGAACGTCAAAAATCCAAACCAATTGTGACCGTAGGTAATTCAGATTACCGATTCGTTCAGATTTTCAAACAAGCCTAGAAATGCTCCTAATAGACACATAATTAGGCCTACAGTCCTACAGTATTAAAAATACAGTTCTAGGATACAATGAATGGAAATAAACACAATTATTTTTGTACATAGGCCTACTTAGGTATTTTTGTTACATTACTGTTATTGGTTTCTTGAAAAAATATGTAGAGATTGTACATTGGAAACGAACAAAACACCAACTGGCTCGGCTCGTTCACTAATTTCCCTGTCGGGCGCCGACTGTATGGTCCCCAAAATTGAAAACATCTATTGTCTCTGTGCTAGTTCAATACTTTAAAACCCTCAAAAACGGTTTGAGTTTGTGACGTTAGGATTTTTTACTCTCACTCTACTGTACATCTATTTTAATCTTATAAACCACTATCCACAGTTTAAAATGGGAATGAGATGACTACTAATCATTGAAGTCAAGCCCTTAGTCAAAGATTAAACCCATTTATGCAAATAAAACTTTTCTAGTCTTTATAAAAACAACATAGTTTCAAAGGTTTTTGATTTCAACATAAATTACATAGATACAAATTAATACACATCTAAATGACAATAAAAATCACATGTAAATTAAAGTTAAGTCACACTACTCGCATGGTGTCTGATAGATCTGCATTTGAAACTAAAAGGTTTAATGAAGATTGTTTGATCATGTTTCCAGGTACTTGATGTACACACTGGACAAGTTTGTGGAGCAGGACTACAGTCTAGTGTACTTCCACCACGGACTGACCAGCAAGAACAAACCTACCATATCCTGGATGTGGCAAGCTTATTGCGCCTTCGACCGCAAGTACAAGAAGAATCTGAAAGCCTTGTACCTCGTACACCCGACCAATTTCATCCGTATTATTTGGAGAATATTTAGAGCTGTTATAAGGTTGGTACATTTATTTGTTATTGCAAAACAATTATTATTGGACGAGACAATAAATTCTTAAGTTTAAAGTACCTATAATAACGTTTCCTTGTAGGAAAAAATTCAACATTTTGACACTTTTGTACAGTTTTTAATTAAAATTATGCAAAGGAAAAAACTGTTTTCTAGTGTGCTAAAATCAAACAAATTCAAGATAGTTAGGTAGAGAGGCCCTTGTTAATTTACAGGGTGTCTAGTAGTCGGGAAAATCGGGAAAGTCGGGAATAAGTATTGAATTTCAAAATGGTCTTGAAAGTCGGGATTTAGTCTTAAATTTGATTTCAAAGTCGGGAATTTTCATGATTTTGCCGCGATTGTCGTCTTGCGTTTACGTAACCGCAAAAGCCAATGATGATGTCTACACGACCTCGGGAAATGTTCACGATTTTGCCGCGATAGTGGACGACGACGATGACGTTTCCGTGACCGCGGTAGACGACGATGACGTTTCCGTGACCGCGGGAGACGAAGATGACGTATCCGTGACCGTGGTAGACGACGATGACGTTTCCGTGACCGCGGGAGACGACGATGATATCTGCTCGGCCGCAGGAAATGTTCATGATTTTGTCACGATCGCGGACGACGACGATGACGTTTCCGTGACCACGGGAGATGACGATGACGTTTCCGTGACCGCGGGAGATGACGATGATGTCTACACGGCCGCGGGAAATGTTCATGATTTTGCCGTGATCGCGGACGATGACGATAACATTTCCGTGACCGCGGGAGTTGGTGATGTCTGAACAGCCGCGGGAAATGTTCATGATTTTGCCGTGATCGCGGACGATGACGATAACATTTCCGTGACCGCGGGAGTTGGTGATGTCTGAACAGCCGCGGGAAATGTTCATGATTTTGCCAAGATCGCGGACGAAGCCACGGGAAATGTTCATGATTTTGTCACGATCGCGGACGACCACGATGACGTTTCCGTGACCACAGGAGATAACGATGACGTTTCCGTGACCGCGGGAGACGACGATGATGTCTACAAGGCCGCGGGAAATGTTCATGATTTTGCCGCGATCGCGGACGACGACGATCACGTTTCCGTGACCGCGGGAGATGACGATGTTTCCGTGACCGCGGGAGACGACGATGATATCTGCTCGGCCGCGGGAAATGTTCATGATTTTGTCGCGATCGCGGGAGATGACGATGACGTTTCCGTGACCGTGGGAGATAAGGATGACGTTTCCGTGACCGCGGGAGACGACGATGACGATTCCGTGACCGCGGGAAATGTTCATGAGTTTGTCGCGATCGCGGACGACGACGATGACGTTTCCGTGACCGCGGGAGATGACGATGACATTTCCGTGACCGCGGGAGACGACGGTGACGTTTCCGTGACCATTTCCATTTCCATTTCGTTTTGTCATGAGAGCCGAAGCCCCCTGACTGCATACCCGGTACCTATCCTTTAGGACATACCCGGGCCCCATGATGTAGGTCGAAGCTTACGCATCAACCTTTAGCACATCATGGGCGGATGACTTAAGGTCATCAGGCTCGCCGGCTGCCGAAGCAGACCCTTCGGAAGGAGGGTTGCCCCTCAATCCTAACCAGGGATTCCGGCTGCTTGTTTAAGCGTCACTCCACCTGGGTTCCACTAGGTCGAGACCTAGAGGTCCATGGTAGAGCGCCCCGACGCATTTAGTGCAAGCAACACTCGGGACCTATCTAATCCCTGACAGGCAGAACCCGCCATCGATAGCCAGGAGGAAGGGGACCGTCAGCGGAACCCCAACCTCCCATTTACACCGCTGCCCGATCGAGGCCTTACCCATTGCTGGGAAACCAGAGATAACCAGAGCGATAGATCCCCAGATACCCCTGGCGGGCTCGGACCCAGCACCCGATCTACTTTGTTTGCCCGTCAGACCCAACATCACTGCCAGGCCATCAGGGTTTCCCAAAAGGAGGCAGGTATAGAAGTGGGACCCACCCGGATGAACCTATCCACCAGAGGTGGCGACACCCTTGACTCAATTGAGGTTCCGGGAAGAACCCCCCACACTCAAGATAACCATACCGTCCGTGCTCAGAGACAGGGATTGGTTTGCATAAGTACCTACAAACCGTTGCCCTCACACTGCAGAAAGTTACGTTGCCCTTGAGTGTCCCCGTGAGCTGCGGGTACTTGCCCGTTTTCACCTCCAGGAAAGGTTACTTCCAAAGTCGAGGATTTGCCCACTGAATGCTGGTCGCACACAACAAGCAGGCCGAAGCCCAAAGAACCACAGCCACAGGTAGGTTAGAGATTATGATGTACTTCCATCTCTCCTAGAGCTAAACACCCCTGCATCCTGGATAAAGGAATGTCACTGGGACCCAATGCCCAGTCGTCCATGTCTGTGGCCAACTTGAAAATGCCGATACCAACACGGAGCATTTACCTCCCCTCTGGGGGCTAGGTATTTCACCTCCCAGGACGAGGCTACTTCCAAAGTCGAGGATATGCCTCACAAAATGTCAGTCGTACACGACAGGTAGGACTCAGTCACAACCACAAGCTACAGGCAGGTGAAAGATCTATGAACTTAATCAACACTAGCAGAGCTGAACACCCCACCACCCTGAATGGAGGGAATGTCACTGGGTACTCTCACTTTGGGTAAACCCAAAGAGGCTGGCTTGTCCAGTCGTCCATAGCTTGTGGTCTACCTGAAGTGCCGGTTCCAACACCGGGCAATTACCTCCCCTCTGGGAGAGCTAGGGTCCGCGTGGTCGCCCAGGCCACGAACCCACGCAAGCGTGAGCCCCCTGCGGTTTACGTTTCCGTGACCGCGGGAGACGACGATGATGTCTACACGGCCGCAGGAAATGTTCATGATTTTGCCGCGATTGCAGACGATGACGATGTCTACACGGCCGCAGGAAATGTTCATGACTTTGCCGCGATTGCAGACGATGACGATGACGTTTCTGAGACAGCGGGAGACGACGATGATGTCATTGATGTCTACAAGGCTGCGGGAAATGTTCATGATTTTGCCGTGATCGCGGACGAAGACGATCACGTTTCTGTAACCGCTGCAGTCAATGATGATGTCTAAACGTACGGTACGTGGAAGATTTCATGAAAAAAAAATTTGCTAATTTCTTTACTTGAAAACACCACATTATCATAATACTACTTTATGACAAAGACAGGGGTTGGTGTAGTATTATTAAGAAAATTTTGTTAAGCTATAACAATTGGTATCGGTATCAAGAATCGAGAATCGATACATTTTGGTATCAACACGCACTAATTGTTGAAAAAACTAGTCTTGAAAAATCTGGAATTAGTCTTGAAAAGTCTGGAATTAGTCTTGAATTTTATAATGGAAATAAACTAGACACCCTGAATTTAACATGGTATGTCCACCAGTACCAAGGTAAAAACGTGGTTCGGATTCCACTACAAACTCTAGGCCCAAGGTTGCCATTAGCTGTATGGGCTAGCCTATTAATTAACAGCTGTGTCTAAAAAATATGTGAGCCTTAGTCACTAACAACAACTACAATATTGTGCCACTCATCCCCATTCATACTTGGCTTAAAATACCTACTTTGTATGGTTGCCATTTCAATCAGAAGTATTTAAGGTACACTTAGTGGTTCACTAAGAGTTGCAAACAACAATTTTTAATGGTCTTAATTTAATTTTCAGTGTCAAGTTTGGACGCAAGATGATGTATGTTAATTGCCTTAATGAGCTAAGTCAGTACCTAAATTTGGACCAAATCAGTATACCTCAGCCTGTGCTAGAGTAAGTATGTTAGTTTTTTGTCTTATGTTAATGGTAGTTAACTCATAATTTTGAATGGGTAGGCCTACCGGTAGGTACTTAAACTGAATAAAATGTTACAACAAAAGTCACCAATAATGTTGCAACAAAGGCACATTTCCTACATATGGTACTTTGCTAGATTTTTTGTTTGAAAAGGAAATGTCCAGACCGTGGTCAACCTAGCTTGAGAAAGCATAAATAATTATTAATTAGTCCAATGACAAACTACCAGGTTCAGCATTTATTCTGTAAGCCTTTTAAGATTTGTTTATCATTACTAGTGACATCTGGATTAGAACATGAACGTTAACAAATTTATATTTTGATTACATCCAATGATTTTGTATCAAAACTCGAAAACATAGTCTGGTTTTATAGATAAATAATTATCTGTTGATATTCAACTATGTGGATATAATGTTGTGCATGAAGATGGCACTCTTTATTAAAGGTGAAACGTTGGTGAAAGTGATTTTTGTTAATTTTTAGAGTCATTAGGTAACTATTTTTTTTTTTAGATAAAGAATCTAATCCAATAGCTTTGACACAATTAAAATTTGAATAGTCACTATTGATTGGGGCATAAAAAGGTCTTAGACTTGTCTTAATCCATAAACCGGGGTAGCGGATTTTTATCTTCCTGGAATTTTACCCCCTGGGCAAACGTGACGTCACAAACCAGGGGGTAAAATTCCGGCCGCGAATTTTTGAGTTTCGCAACATCAGCTCAATGGATTAAACGCGGAATTAAACATATATTTTCACGGTTGTGAATTTAATCAGAACACATCAAACTATAAAAACCTAGAGTGTACGGCCCTGATTTTTACCCCCGGAATTTCACCCCCCGGATTTTTACCCCCGGAATTTTACCCCCTGGCCAGATATATAAATTAGTGATTATTATTAATTATCTTCATTCTGTTTTAATTTAATAGTAAACATTTTATTATTAAGTAGACTTGCCTAGCTTATAATTTATTTGTAAAATGAACTAATTGAACAGTTTTTTAATTTTAATTTTGAGATTCTAGTATTAGGATTCGATCTTTGAAGCCAACAGTTGGTTAATACGACGTATAAACAATCAACTGAATGATAATTATGACATTATGAATGATAATTGTTTCGAACATTTATTTTCTTGTTTCGAAGATAGGCTACTAAATAATGAAATGTTTACAATTAATTTTAAAAAAATAAGAAAATCAATCATTCAATTTCTAAAATTGGCCAGGGGGTAAAATTCCGGGGGGTAAAAATACATCTAAAAAATACAGCCCGTACATCTTCAGTCGTCTAAACGCTAGTTATATGGACAGGGGGTAAAATTCTGGTTTTTATCGCTAATCTAATTAATTACGCTCTAGCTATTTTCATTAGACTTCCAAATCCATGGGGGTAAAATTCCGACCACAAACAAACTTTTGGCCACTCAGGTTACTACGTCATAGTGACGTCAGCTTTGGTCAAAAACATCTTTTCTGGTCACAGTGAAGTCTTGAACATCTTTTGCAATTACAGTGTTATCACCATCGTGGCAAAACCATGAACATCGCCCTTGATCTTGGCATAATAATGAATTTTTTATACTCTTTCTGAAATAGCAAAAATAAATCTTGGGCTTGGCTCTACACAACCTGAGCTTGGGGCAACAATTATTTTCGGCCCAAACCAACCGCTCCAACCAACTGTTGACCCGACCCCAAAAACATCGGAGAGCTGCAAACCTCTACTGAGGTAGTCCGAAACCTCACCACAAATAAGTTTCTGTCTATTAGCCAGTAATTCCCAAAATACCTAGTTTGTTTGACTTGTTATGTTGAGTTGTTTGTTGTATGTCACAGACATGATGAGAGGCTGATGGCCAAGAACAGCCGACTGAGCAGCGTATCTCCCACTCCAGCAACAACACAGTCTCCTCCACCACTACCAACACAACAGTTCGGAGTCTCTCTACAGTTTATCAAGGAGAATCATGACAGAGAAGTCATACCTCCCCTGGTCAGACAGTGTGTGGAGTATCTCAGCACTCCTGATGGTAAGTACTTCTACTTTGCGATTATAGCCAGGAATGTGCCTTATTTTCACTGTTATAGGTGAAATAATACTAGGGGTGTGCGAAGCAGCAAAACAATTTTGATTCGAAGCAACGATTCAATTCAAAAGATTTTCAATTCAAATTTATGCAACTCAATTCAAAGCAATACGGCATTTTTCTACTTGTCAATAGAGTGAAATAACAATAGACTAGGGCCTAATTAAAATTTACCACATTTGTGTAATGCAAATTTTGTTGTTGTGGTATTAGGCCTATTCATATATATTTATGAATTTTATGTGAAAAAATATTTATTTTCAATCATATTAGAAGAACCTGTATTGCTGGAAATGTCAGTGAGCTGCTTTACTTGCTCTTTTTGTAATATTAATTTTACAAATAAAGATATGTTTTGGTGTAAACAAATAAAAAGATTTGCAAGATTTATACTGAAACCTTGAATTGGTTTACGTGGATAAAAAATATAACCAGACCTACAAACTACAAGATATAGGCCTACATAGCAAACCTACAAAAATACCAAACTTATCAGTCTAAAACATCAATCTTTCAAGTTAAAGATCAAGTAACAATTTTTCAGACTTGTATTATTTTTAGAATGATTTTTGAGTGATTTGTTTTTGCTATGTTAACAGTAGTAAAACATGTCTCACACTGCTTGCACTTAACAAAACTTCTCATCATTTGCAATGTCAAAACAAAAAAATATTTAACATTTAAAGACATATTTACAAGCAAAGAATTAATTGAATAAGAACACCTTCACAAATGGAAGACAACAACGCGCTCCTTTATTGCTGATATTGTATTGACTTTCTGAAGGCGTTTTTCGTATATGTTTACTTTCACCCTCATGAATCAAATGGTTTTTTGATCACCACTGAGTCGAATCACGATTCGATGCATTAAATTGAATATGAATTTCAATGCATCACACACCTCTAAATAATACTATTGTTTTTGTCGCCTATTCTGTTCTGTCGGATTTCTGTTAATAGGAAGGTGCAATCAGCGCCATTCTATCGATTCAGATTACATTAAAAAAATTAAAGGGTATTCTCAGTAATCTATTACCAATAGGCATTAATAGGCGACATTTTGGCAAAAGTATTATTCATCCTATTATTTTAAAACACATATCTCTGGTGGTAGGCCTATGGTAAGTGAGAACTGTCTTCATCACATACTTTTTCCGTTTTCTGCGTCTTGAGTTCTACATTCTGTATTCTGGTGTAATGTTGCTTTCTAGTTATAATGCTTGGTCACACATATTCAAAATATTGCCTGATTGATTATCCCATGTTGACCTATTTATATCAGGGATGTAAGAATTCAACTTTTGAAAAGTGCGATCCTCCATCGTTTGAAATACCGGTACCCAAGTCTTTTTTAAATCATTGTAATTTGTACCTACAGTTGAGAAATAGTTTGTCAGCTTTTGAAACTGAATTTTAACACCATGTGAATTTCTTATCTTCTCATTCATCTTATCTAACCTTTTTCTCTTGCTTCTATTTGTTGACTTTGTCCCATATATCATTGACAAGTTTTTACTATTGAAACAAAACTCAGTTAACTTTAAATCCGATACATTTGCACACCTTCCCACCCAAAAAAACTACATACAAGCAAATTAATTTATTGAGTATGTAACAGAGCAGAAGGTTGTCTGGATTTTTAGTGAGGATAGTAGCTTAGATAACTGAATGGGAAAGTGTCCAAACTGGCACAATAAACACACAACTGTACACTATATACACACACAAAACATTAGCATCATTTCATCGTCACTAACCACATTTTTAACTAAGGAGGAGAGAGTTTTCTTAATTCCTAATCCATTCCTGGTTAGGCCAGAAGAAAACTCTTCCTTGGTAAAAAATGCTGTCACTGGCAGTGGAATATTCTCATGTTTTGTGTAGGCTATAGTGTAAAGCTTTGTCTTCATTGTGCCAGTTTGGACTCTAAATTCAGGTAACCGTGCTATCCTCAATAAAATCTGTAAAACTAAACTATCAGTTGATTAATAAGCTTACAATATTTTCCAAACTAATGGGTTTCACTTGTTGCAGCCTTGGAGACGGAAGGTTTGTTCCGAAGGTCGGCCAATGTCACCAAAGTGAAGGAGTTGCAGGCCAAGGTCAATCAAGGTCAGCCGATAGAGTTCAACGGTGATGTCCACATTGCAGCTGTTCTTCTGAAGACTTTCCTGCGAGAGCTGGAGGAACCTATCATGACCTTTGATCTGTACGATGAAATCACTCAGTTTCAAAGTAAGCAGATTGTTAAGATATTTGTTGATTATTTATTTAGTTCATTTTTTTTTTTGCTTATTAACGCCAGTGGCATTTTTCAAAATTTTGAAAGGGATCTATCATAATCAATTAATGGTAGCCCAATGACAAATGGCATCACGGTCTGTTAACGATTATTATGTTTTCTTGTATACATTATAAATTTAGTATCAAATTTCCCAAAAATCCTTAATAGTCTGGTTAGGGTCCATTGTGTTCTTCACCACAGGTGCTTCTCATTTCAATATCTTTAATACTTTTAATTGAAATGGCGACCATACGAAAGTAGGTATTTTAAGCCAAGTATGATGAAGATGAGTGGCGCGATCTGATAGTCTTGTTACTGACTAAGGCCTGAACCTGACTAATTTCTGAATTGGTCTAAATATCAGGATAGTACTGGGGATAGTCGTAGTACTCACTAGTGTGGACGTTAATCCACACCAGGGAGTATGGCATCCACAGATCATCCCTATTTATCCACAATTTGTGACCTCCAAGTAGCTAGATTACTTAGGTACGACGCCATGGTCCCAGTTATCACTAAAGGAAAACTATCCTACCTAACCCTCAAAAAAGTTTTGAAGGAAACATTAAAAAAACTTGAAACTTGAAAAATCATTATTGAAATAAAAACTTACTGCAGGCAGAAATAAGAAGCATTGTCAAACCCCAGCCTATTTTTCAGAATTTTCAATAATAAGATGTGTTTTTTAGATTTGTTTGTTGATTGTTTCAGGTGTGCCAAATGATGAGAGACCAAGACATGTTAAAATTCTAATCCTAGAAAAATTACCAGAAGACAACTACCAAGTGTTGAAGTACATAGTGCGGTTTCTGTCAAAGGTGAGATGTCAAACTTAACTTACCTGAGTTTTTTAACAGAATTTCAGCAGATTTATATGGCAAGTTACTTGCCTCTAATTTAACGTTTTAAGTTGTCAATAAAATCTTTCTAACCTGTGCTACAAAATTTAATGTTTGATAGTTAAGAATTTAGCTGTGCTGCCGTGCAAATGATAGTTTGCACTGTTGGATGCTCAATTATCGTTGAATGTATGAGGGGCGTTTTTTAAGTAAGGTCTGTTTTTACATATAGCTCCGTAATTTCCGTGTTCACAACAGCTAGGCTGCTTCCTGCTTACTGGCACCATTGGTAAATAGAATGGCACCATTTGTAGTTCTGTGGGCGATGTGTACACTTCGCTGTGTGATAAGAAAATTTGATAAATTATCGAATCTCCTGCTGCATGTGAGATGTTTTTTTTTTTTAACACGAGAAACATAATTAATTATCTGATGCCGATATTCATGGCCAGATGACTGAAGGTAATGACCCTAATGCAATGAGTGAGGGTAAAGTGCAGAAATGGGTTAGGGAGTTCAAAAATGGCTGTGAAAATGTCAATTTTGCAAGAAATTGGGTGTTTGGTGAGTACCCAGACTTCTCACAAAAGACCACCAAGGAAAAGTTTTTGACGGCCATTTTTACACTCACTAACCCATTTCTGCACTTTACCCTTACGCATTCAATGAATAAGGCTATAACCTTCAGTCATCTGGTGATGAATGTCGGCATGGATATGTTTATTGTGGTCAAAAATCGTATCACTGACCTATCTTGCGTGCGACGGGAGATTCGTTCATTAAAAAAATGTTTCTAGATGCACAGCTGTCCATATAGATGAGATGTCTTCTTCAGTATTTAATAGTCAATGTAACCTTTATAGCTGTTTTTTGACGGACAATTATTTTTACAGGTGATGGACAGGTGTGACCTAAACAAAATGACGTCTTCCAACCTGGCTGTGGTCTTTGGACCCAACTTAGTGTGGTCTCAGTCCGGACAGCTGTCACTGTCTGCGATAGCTCCAATCAACGTGTTTACTGACTTTGTACTGAGGCATCACGATCAGATATTTATCATCTAAACAACAACCATTTCAGCTCAACTGTAGCTAAATTAGGAACACAAAATATTAACTATAAACCCCCATTGTGAAGGAAATGTCAGAAGTGGATGTCAATTTATGTTTTGTACATTTCAAAGATCTTTTAGAAAGGATTAGAATGTTTCAAATTTGTAAAAATAGTTTAAGTGGTTTTAGAAAATTGTAGTTGGTTAAAACCGATGGTATAAGATTTGGTGCTAAATATTATTGTAATGATTTAAAAAAAAAAAACCGCTTTCATTCAACTCGAGATATAGTAACAGGATTTTCAGTCTTAACGATTTGGCTCACTTATTCATAGAGAACCACGAAAACAGAAATTGGAAACTAATTGTTACAAAACCTATTTAGATTACAAAGTAATCAGTTTAGCCTGTGATACTGTTTACAAAACATTTTCTCTTGTGTAATAGTGAAGGATAAAAATATTGTCTTCATGTAAATTCTTCCATTCAACTCGTAGAGGCTAGGAATGTTCACTTAGGATTGTTTCAGTGATAGAAATAGGTTAGAAATGGATAGACTAGGTCATAAAGTACCTGGGAAAGGGATGTGTAGGGGTGTAAAGGTTCTAGAATGTATTTTTAACTTGTGTCTAATTTTGAATTTCAATAATATAGTTTTTTACTTTATGGCAACTGTTGTACATATCATATAGTACAACAATGCAACTACTCTACAACTAGTATAGTACAACTACTCACTTTGGTCGGAGTTACTTCACATCAAACCTAGGGTGTTCAGCCCAGTGTAGGATTGTTTACTGGCTGCGTGGCAAAGTGTCCAGTGTCAGTAGAGGTATTTTTCGCTGAACTGATCGACAAAGTTGTTGATTATAATCGGTTTAGCAACAACTTCTTGATTTTGACGTCTTATAGCTTTAACTTGATCAACAATTTTAGTGGAAATCTGCATCAACGACGCATGGTTCTCCGTGATTTCAGAGATAAGCTTCTTTTGTTTGGTTTCAAACTTGGCGAGATTATTAAATTGGTATAAAATTACCTGTTTCCGTCTGTGATCCTATATTTGTTGTATAGAGCAACCGGTTTCAAGGTTATAACCTCATCTTCAGGCTCTTGTTGTCACTCTTGCGAGATCGTTGAGTTTTATAAACACACAAAAACACTAACATTGAAATAAATAAACACGAGACATTGACAGACAAAGACGATTAACATAAATTCGGGAACTAGTTGTTGGATCCTGGGATCCAACTTGATCCACTGTTGTTCCTGGATCCACTTGGATCCTGGGAACTAGTTCCCGAATTTATGTTAATCGTCTTTGTCTGTCAATGTCTCGTGTTTATTTATTTCAATGTTAGTGTTTTTGTGTGTTTATAAAACTCGACGATCTCGCAAGAGTGACAACAAGAGCCTGAAGATGAGGTTATAACCTTGAAACCGGTTGCTCTATACAACAAATATAGGATCACAGACGGAAACAGGTAATTTTATACCATTTTAATAATCTCGCCAAGTTTGAAACCAAACAAAAGAAGCTTATCTCTGAAATCACGGACCACCATGCGTCGTTGATGCAGTTTTCCACTCAAATTGTTGATGAAGTTAAAGCTATAAGACGTCAAAATCAAGAAATTGTTGCTAAACCGATTATAATCAACTTCTTTGTCGATCAGTTCAGCGAAAAATACCTCTACTGACACTTTGCTGACACCGGTTGTTCTCTAAAACAAATATAGGATCACAGACGGAAACAGGTAATTTTATACCATTTTAATATTCAAGAAGTGATCCTGGACCAAATAACATCAATATGAAGTTGGCGAGATTATTGCTTCCCTCTTCAATGACTTTGGTGATGAGATTCAGCTGATCTTGAATGTTCTTCATCGAGGGCAGAATATGTGACTTGATCACGTCTTTGTAAAGGTTTACCGAGTGTTGTATTATTTCATCTCCTCGTGACTTGCAAGAATTGACTTGACCAGTAAACTCTGTTTGCTTATTGTGAAGTGTTTCATTCATTGACTGTGCAAGGGCTTTCATCTGGTTTTAAAAGATTTAATGGTTGATAAAACATTATGGTTCTCTTCTTCAAATAATCTGTTCACAGTGCTGGCATTTTTAAAAACTTCTTTCACAAACTGCTTTTCTTCATCAAGAAACGAATCAAGCTTGCTTTTGAAATCCGCAACCTTCTTGCTGGCATCTTCCTTGTAGCGACACAACATCTGCAGGTTGTCTGCCTCGTTAGACTGCTTTCTATCAATTTTGTCGTGCAAGCGATTGCTCTGGTCTAAAAGGTTTTCCAGCACAGACTTGCAAGTTTTTGCTTGCTCTGTCAGACTGCCTTTGGTCTTTTCATATTCTTTGATGAAATATTCTCTGACAACAACTTCCTTTGCGAATTCTTTCATCTTATCTTGACATCTTTGGCTTTCGATTCTGAACAGATTATCAAGCTCTTCATATCCAGCACACTTGTCGTCAAAGTCGGAGCTTAAGGAACTGAACATTTCCTGTGATTGTTCGTACGACTCTTTGATGCGTGAATATTTTTCATGCCAGTCTTTCACTTGATCGTCCAGCTCTTTCATTCGGCTTATCATTTCTTCATGAGACTCTTTAGAGATATAGAACCCCTCTCCTTGCCTGACTGCTTCCAGGTCTTTTTTGAGCTTCATTATTTCTTCAGACGCATCCTGCATAAAGTCCTTCTTGGAGATGGTCTGGTTTCTCACTGGCTTGTTCTTGATGGATCTCGCCTTAGAAGCATAGTTCAGTGTGCTCTCCGTTTCATCCAGGTTGGCCTGCGCTGGAGAGATTGTTCCGATGATGCAGGTCTTAGTCTTGCCACCAAGCGAGTCTTGTAAAAACTTTGTCAGTTTTGACTCTCTGTAAGGAATGTGTGGGTTGTTTTCCGTCAAGCATGTTATGACTCGGCCCAACGTCAACAGAGACTTGTTTATATTTGAAGCCTCGGCAAGTCTCTTGTCAACCCCCGTTGCAGATTTGTGTATGTTTTCGCTGGCTCCAGACTTGGACACGTTTTCACTTCCAGCCAAATCCACGAGGTGGAGTTTGCCACATCGCAGTACATCATCTTTGCCAGCTACAGCGTTCTCCTTGATATTCACGTTGATCGTAAAAATTGTGTGCGATCGGCCTGAGTTGAGGTTCATCTGAGTCGCCGCCACCTGTCTCCACCACCTGTCAGGTGCCTGCGCCAGGCGGAGTTGACCCAAACAATCCTCCACTGGGCTGAACACCCAAGGTAAGATGTGAAGTGACACCGACCAAAGTGAGTACGGTAGCGTTCCAAGTAACCAAAAGTACATGGAGTAGAAGTTGGTCTAATTACTGGGACTATATACACTATATGATATGTAAAACAGCAACAACAGTTGAAATATTCAATTTGTTGCAACTTTGTTTCATATATTTTTGCTAGAGTGAAATGCAGTTCTGTTAGCAATTGAAACTTAGGTAAAGACAAGTTGTCTTAGTTTTCTAAACAATCAATGGCAGAAAGTGTTTTTTTTCTGTGTAAATTTTATGAAATTTTGCCGTATGATATAATAGACTCTGAAAAATCATTACAATTCAAGTTACTGAAACAAAAATTTCAGACAGATGATATTACACAGTTTTACGTTTAACACTTTCAGTGAAACTAAAATAGCCCTATATAATAGGTTCTATTTGATTGTCCATTTTGATCTTGTGAATCATCAGTACAGTAGGTTTTGGTGATTCAAATCTGGACCCAGCTGTTCTTGGTCATTGTGGTTTTATAAATAATCCTGGTAAAAGAAACAGCTGGTCTGAAGAGAAACTACCTACTAAATTTCACCTTTCACTATTGATGCAATTATACATATTCAATTCCCATGTTAAAATTGTCACAAGTTTGTTAATCAACTAACTTCTGTCAAATACACAAACTTTTTTAGCAAGTCAAACTAATCGAATGACTTATTATGAGCTATAGCAACTGTTATGGACCTATAAACTTTGTCAGCAACAAAAAATAAGGTAGAAAATATAATTTTAGACACTAGTGCTCTCTGTGACTGGCTCACACAACTATGCTCTTTAAAAGAAAATTTGGGACAGCTGGTCCATATAGATGGGATGTCATTTTCAGTGTAGACCTCCCATCTATATGGACCAGCTGTAGCCAATTTTTAATTACAAAAGAACGTAGTTGTGTGAGCCAATCGCAGAATGCGCTAGTGACTAAAACTATATTTTCTACCTTATTTTTTGTTGCTGGCCAAGTTGATGGGTCATAACAGTTGCTGCTCACAAGAAGTCATTCCATTAGTTTGAATTAGTAAAAAAGATGTGTATTCGACAGAAGTCAGTAATTTAGATCAGCACAATCTGTCGGCGGCTCACATCAACTACAACGATTTTGGTTAAAAAAATTTCTACAAATTTAACATGGGGATGGAATTTCTAGTTGTAACATCCAATAGTCAATGATCTACACATTAAAGTTGTGTAATTTGTAGTATCTCCCTTGACTATTATTAAAGTTAGACAGCTTCGTGTCACTGTCTTAATTTAATGATAAAATCGGTGAAACCAGATGGAAAAAGCACTAGTAGCGATTCATAATAAAACAAAGTTGCAACGTATAGAACCTTTTGTAAGTTTACTATCATCTCATTCTGTTTGTAGTTGGTTTAGGTCACGTAAAAATTGTTTTTAAAAATATCCAGTCCATTCTTTTTTGTAGACCTATAACAATGTGTTTAAGTTGAAACAGTACAATTTTATTGTTCCTGATTTAGCATTTAGTTCAACAGTTGCCTAGTTAGATTAGATGCCGTGTTTTGGGATCAAAATTCCAAAGCGAACTTAGCACCGACAAAGTAAAGCAGTATTAATCGATTCTGAACAAGACAAAAATCAAAATATTTTTATCAAACTCGTTAAAAAATAATTGTAACTAACCGTTGAGCCCACAGATTAATTGTTTGGTGGTTACTATATTTATATTTTCATAGTCTTTGTAAAATATTAACGCACATTGCGATGGAGTGAAGATATCATATTACTGTTCTCATTTATTACAATGTATCTCAAGAGTTTAGTACTGTACAATGTGTTAGTTTTACATATATTTTTAGGAATATACGATTGAATAATTAGCTTTTCGACAATTATTTTATGACAGCACTATTTACTAATTAGTTAATCTAAGGTTTTACCATTTTAATTTTTAAAAGCTTTAATTTGATGTACTAATTTGGCAACTATAGTTTCTTTTGTGCTGATTTATTGATAATGCAACATGTTGTTTTCTTGCAATTAATGTGTGAACTTGGTTGTATACAAAACTTATCATTTTAAAAGTTTTAAGAAATGCATGATATTTTGAGCAAACGTCATGACACTTGTGTAGAAACTGCTATAAAAGTTATCCTACAAAGATCCACAAATAGTATAAAATTGGTTATGAAAATTTGTGATCAATTGCATTTTAAAACGTATTAATGACAGACATTCCAGTTTAATTTTTGATTATGCTTCATTTTTGGGAAATCTATGATATAATTAGCTTAATTTAACATTTTTTAATAAATTATGTATTTTGTAATAATTAGGCTGAGTTGTATTACTTATCTTTCAAATATTTAATCATGATATATATATTTTTTAATTATCAGTTTGATTTAGGTTACATGTACTGAAAAATAAATATATTATTTTAAAGAAGATACATTAGACTCTCGCTCATCCAGACTAATGTGGTCCGGATTGCAAAAAAATCAGGACTATTGAGAGTCGAGCAGATATTCGTAAATTTTGCCGTTACGTCGAGCAGTTTTGTTAAAACACGTGCTAATACAAACAGGAGTGTCTAAAACAAGTTAGGTACAATGAGAATTCCCGCAAAATGTATGCCATTAATGTGATGTTGGCTTGCTCGCACAATAAATGAAGGCGTTGAAACGTAAAGTTAGTTAAGTTTTTATTTTATAATACTGTGCCGCTAAAAAAAATTCACGATTGCCGATCCGTACTAGCAGGTGGCCAGACAAAGCTGATCCGGATGAGTGAGAGTCTACTGTAGTTATTAGTAAAGACACTCGCTTTTTGAATATAAAAAAAATCATGACTCCGGTTTGGTGAAATAAATTATTATACATCTTACAAATCAGAATTGTTGTATCATAAGTGTAGTGTTAATGAAAAAATTATATATACAACTGCCTTTTCAGTTCCTACATTGATTAATACAATATAAACAATGTGCACAAAACCCTTTTGTCAATATCACACATTTGTTATAAATACCCCTTAAATGAATCGATCCGCACCTTTTTAATAATTTGTTCTGTCTAGCATGTAACAGATAAAAGATATATTATACTTTTCAATTATCTCAATGCCACTTATCATTTTATTGTGTAAGTTTGGCTAGGTTAGGTAAGGCCAACACCTTAATACAAAATATATTATGACAGGAAACTGCGTTAACCTTGACCTTGACCAAACATTTTCAGTAAAAAAATAGTGGGGTTAAAATATTTTGTTAAACAATGTCAGTGAATATGAAATTATTTAGAATCATGCCGACCAGTTTTAGTGCTGATAATTAAGTGCAATAATGTACACATTTTACAAGATCGAGCAGGTATATCACTGTATTAAAGATTATTTTAACTGATTATTTTGGTATTTTGGTCCATTAATTTTGTTGTAGTTAAACGTAAGTGAGTTTAAATTATTGATTGAATGACTTATGCTTATGGCCTAATAATTTAATTTCTTACTAAAGATATCACAATATGATTAGTAATACAGTAATAATTTATCATGAACTGTTTTTTCGCTGTCCTTAAGCAATGTAGCAGTGGTGATAGTGTTTTAATATTAGTTTTCTAATCTGTTTAAAAGAAATGTGATTTTTAAATCACCACCCATCCCAATCCAAACCAAAATTATTGATACGAGGGTTGTTTTATAAATAAGGGCCGTTTTTGGGTATACAATTATTTATTTACAATTATTAAATTTACGCTACACCAAGGCTCCTTGCTGTATACTGTCATAATTTAATAACAGAATGGAACCATTTGCAGCTCTGTAGGTGACGTGTACGCTTCGCTGTGGTTTAAGATTGTTTAAATATTATTGAATATCCCGCTGCATTCACGATAAGGTCAATAATACGTGATTTTGACTACAGCAAACATATATGATGCCGATATTCACCACCAGATGACTGATGGGTGATGGTCACAGTGCAATGAGTGAAGTGCAGAAATGGGTAAGGGAGTTCAAAAGTGGCAGTGAAAATGTCAATTTCAGAAGGAATTTTTTAACTTCCTAAATCCTAACCCATTTACGCACTTGACGCTCTTTCTTTGCACTGGGGACCTTTCATCATCTGGCGATGTTGGCATCAAATATTTCTGTTGTGGTCAATATAAAAAGTATCATTGACTTTATCTTGCCAAACAAACAAAATTATTAGTCTGGTTTTTTTTTTGTGGTGAGATTCAATATAAAAAAAAAATCCTGAACACACAGCGAAGCGTACACGTCACCTACAAATCTGCTATGATTATATTCTGTTCACAAACTATCTATCTATATATTAATAGGCAAGCATGTTTCTTTAAAACCTTTTTTCTCAGCCTGTGGGCATCGTGGGGTAAATCTGCGCATACCGTTAGAAAGCAATTTTCCTGTAGGTGTGCAGAATCCCTTTATAAATTTAAATAGGTTCAAAGATAAGCACGAAAAATGAGTTTAAACATTTGAAAAAATTAACATGGACCTCATGCGTTGCCATGCTGGTGACGAAATAACAACGAAATATAAACAGAAAATCAAAACAAATGGATGAAACTCCAATCACATGTTTTATTTACAGTGTGGGGTGAAAATAGAGAAGTGAGTACATTACATATTTTTGGTCGAGTTTCGACCACTGGACGACCTCTTGTACCAGTATACAGAGAGGAACTTCATTGCCTTGTTCACAAACTACGGATCCATATGCAAAAACCGCACATAGGCCTACTTAAAAAACGACCCTTATATTCAGCGAGATTTAGATTGTAAATATTAAAGTTTGATTATTTTTAATGTTGTGTGAAATTTAGTTGTTTATTTTAAATCCTCTTTTTGAGTGGTTAGTCGAATCAGCGCACAACTTATGTGGTTTTTTTTACTTTAATTTGTACTCCGCTGCCAGCTTTGCAGATTGTAAGCCAAAGATAAGATGCAAGTTACCGGTACTTAGTAATGTACTACAGGCATGGCAGTCATATCACTGTAGAAATCATTCCATCGTACTAAAATAAATTGTGATCACTACCTTGTAATAGTTTTATAAAATATGTAAATAACTCAAAATATTAATATAATATTTGTATGTACTATGTAACTTGTTACTATAAAATAAAAGTGTAATAAAAATATCATGTTTATTTTATTTGTACCCCCATCATGGTTGACTCAACAAATATGGTTTCTACTCCAGTTCTGCCAACCTGGTCCTCTTACACAAAATTGCAAATGGCGATTTTCTTATCAGGGGCAAAAACTGAGTATCAGCCATTGTTGACTCAACCAGTAAGATTTTATATTTCCAGACACATTGATTGGCTCAAGAAAGCAAATGGTGAATTTCGTTATCAGGAGGGTGGAAATCCACTTGCAGCCCAATGCTGTCTCAACCAGTAAGAATTCTAATATATCCACCTTCTTGATTGGCTCAAAAAGCAAATGGCGGATTTTGGTGTTGTCTCAACCAGTAAGAATAATTCTAATATATCCACCCTCTTGATTGGCTTAAAAAAGCAAATGGCGGATTTTGGTGGCTAGAATAGAGAAGCAGTCATAATTGTTGACTCGGATAGTAATGTTCCTACCAAGTTCTGCCACCCTGGTAGCCTCAAAACATAAAATTGCCATTTTGGTGAAAAGTGGCCAATTTCGTATCCGGAGGCCAGAATAGAGTAGGAGCCATTATTGCTGACTCGACCAGCAAGGTTCCTACCAAGTTCTGCCACCCTGGCATCCTCAAAACAAAAAATTGCCATTTTGGTGAAAAGTGGCCAATTTCGTATCCGGAGGCCAGAATAGAGTAGGAGCCATTATTGCTGACTCGACTAGCAAGGTTCCTACCAAGTTCTGCCACCCTGGTATCCTCAAAACAAAAAATTGCCATTTTGGTTAAAAGTGGTCGATTTCGTATCCGGAGGCCAGAATAGAGTAGGATTCATTATTGTTGACTCGAGCTAGATTTATAATTTTGTCTGCCACCTTGATTGGCTCAAAAGAGCAAATGAGGATTTTGGTATCAGGAGGCTAGAATAGAATAGCAGCCATCATTGTTCATTGGTTGTTTAACTCAACCAATCAGATTTCTAATATTTTCTGCCTTCTTGATTGGCTCAAAAGAGCAAATGGTGGATTTTTGTATCAGGGGGCTAGAATAGAATAGCAGCCATCATTGTTCATTGGTTGTTTAACTCAACCAATCAGATTTCTAATATTTTCTGCCTTCTTGATTGGCTCAAAAGAGCAAATGGTGGATTTTTGTATCAGGGGGCTAGAATAGAATAGCAGCCATCATTGTTGACTCAACCAATAAGATTTCTGCCTGCATGATTGGATCGAAAAAGCAAATGGTTTATTTTTGTATTAGGAATAGAGTTTACATCACCATTGCTGACTTAATTAGTATTCTTAGATGAACATCGGTCCAATTTTTTGTGAAGCCTACTAGAAGTATGAATATGGTTGGTTAGCCAACTTAAGTACTTACCATGTTCTGCCTAGTAGAAGAGATGTTTTACAACATATCTAAATTGGTTTCATGCTAGGTAAAATGATTTATATACACTTTTTTCTGAAAATAACTTTATTTAACATTTTTAGATTCATAGAATTTATATATTGTACCATCACTAAAATACAATAAATGTGTAAAATAACTTCTTTAAAACATACAAAGAAAAAAACATGTAGCTCTATTAAATCAAGTACAATAATATCACAGTGTCATAGAAAGGAATTTGAATTTTACTGCAGTGATAGAATGGAAAAACAATAATACAAGTGGAAAATTTCCTTATGAATAACCAAGAATATTCTGTACACAGGATACTTAATGTGTAACTTCTGACACTCATGTATTTATATGAACAGTTATTCTAAATATTCTAAGAAACAATGTAATATACAAGATGAATATAACTATTTAACCATTAATTGATAGTACACGTTTTTAGTCTTTAGAACTGTACAATAAACGTTTCTTGTTGTGCTTATCAAAGTTCTCAACGGTAATGATACTAGATCTGTTTTACAGAGATAAATAATCTTTCAGAATTATCTCAAGAATAAAAATCACTCGTAGGCCTACATAAAAATAATTTATGACCACATTTTGAATATTTCTCAAAACATTTTATTCTGCCATTCTACTCCGCATTTACACATTGATTATTAATAACGGCCATCCTATTGCCTACTTTCATTGGGAATTTTGAAAGAAACCTTGTATGTTGTTTAATGTTAGCCTATATATAACACACATATACACAGAAAACATAAATTATAGTTCGAATTAAGAGTTGAAAATAAATAAATAATAAACATAGCAAGTCAATAAACTCAGGTTGAAGATAAATAAAAATAATATTTTATTATTAGCTTATCTGGAATGCATGTTTCTTGGGTTTGTTTACAGTGGTGCCTAAATGCCTTTGCATGGATACAGCTGTTATCATATAAGGCTTAGTTTTAAAATACCTTAGTTTGGTTGAAATAAAAATTAACAATCATGCTTTTTAACCATCACAAATGGAAGTCCAACAGTATAATTGATTTTAACATACCTTATTGACAACATTTTGTCCAGTTGCAGTATTCGTAAGCAATAAAATTGACAAATACTTTTCATTATTTTCACATAAAAAGATGTCTCAAACTTCCTAAAAGAACACTAAAAATTCATGAAAACAGAAGTTTTTAAATTGTGCCACGATTCAGCAAGAGATAAAATTCTGCATTTAAGTTTTATAAACAGCAGAGAATTTGATCAATTTTTGTTGAAAAAATAAGTTGTATTCTATTATACAAACACATTTCTTGTCTTAAACATGAAAATTAATTCTTTAATGTAAAATGACAGTTGAGATATTTCGCTACAAGAACATACCACATCAATACAACTGAAAACAATGCAAAAGTTAAATACTGAATCGAATGTTAATGTTTTTTAGTCTCGATACTGGCTGTAGGAAATATCTTCTCTTAAAATGATTAACTAGAAGACTAAAATTCTTACGCAACAACAATTCTTTTTCTCACTAGTTATTGATTTCATCCCATATCTCATCTTCTTTTGTCCGTCTCCTGTATGAGTCGGTGTCAGGTGGAACGGAGTTTCTTTTTCTTTCGTTACTTGCTTCGTTCCAATTTCCGCCCCAATCTCCTTGAGATCCTCCGCTTTGGTTTCTGAAACATAATTAATTCATCATTCAACAGATTGACTCGGGTGCAAACACAAGATAGCCTAACTGAATGTCACTGGGTATTTCATGAATAATTAGGCTATCAGTCATAACCTTTATTTCATGGAAGAAAGTACTTACGTATATTAGTTTATTCTGCAACTAGTGTTTGTTGTGATATTGAAAAAGGTGTTAAAGAAAAACTTACAAGCCAAGATAAAACCTCTCCTACATTTAATGTGGCATTTTGTTCTCTTAAAAATTAGTTAAAAAAACAGCTGATTTCTATAAGTTTTACTTGCCCTACCTTTGACTATTAATACAACAACCAAACTCACTCGTAATGACAACTGAACACAATAAAATGTGAGTTCTTATTTTATTCGTTGGGTTTCAGTTTGGTTTTTAAAAATAGCTTTTTTTTTGCATTAGTAGTATATCTTCAATTTTATCATCGGTACCAGACTCAAAATTAATTATAAGTTTATTTCTAGACGGATACAACTTGCTTTTGTCATCATACTGCAGCAATAACAGCTGTTTTTATGCATGCATTGCGGATCTTAAGTAGCATTTTTACTTAAAAAAATCAGTAAGTAAAATTAGCTGTTGTAAACAGTTTCACAGTAAATTTTGATTGTAGCAATCACATCAGTTGAAATTATTTATTGTTTGATTTATTAGGTAAGGTGTTAGACTATTATTGTCGATCGCTCGACATATCTATATTGGATAATGTACTGTAAAACAATCGTAATAGACGAGATGGTTGAATCACTTACTAAATAGCTGCTTATTTGTATTAGCAGAATTGAAAACAAGCTGGAAGTCGTTTTGAGAGGTTATCATTACAATTACATACAAGTTATTTAGTTTTCTAGCTTATTTTGTTAATTAATGATGCAATATGACGAAAAATATAGTTCACCAAACGGGCAAAAAGTGTCTTTTAGCCCTCGCTCATTTCTCGACCTTGACTTCGCCTCGATTGTAAAACTTGACCACGGGTCAAAAAGAGTAATTTTTTTTTGAAATATACTATTCTTAAAATAAATATGAGAGGCTCCCGTTTGGCAAAAAAACAAAAACCAATAGTTTTTCAGTAAATTTCTCATCAAGACTTTTAATTTATCGTTAGATAGGTGTGAGCTTTACGGTTTTTGTAAAAGTTAAAATATATTTTGCATACAAAACCTTAACCTTACCTTTGCTTTAAGTTTCCGTCGACAAGAAGCGACGACTTTTCAGAAGAGTAGTTGGAGTAGCTAGGAAAGTTATCAGCTGACGCAGACTGTGGGGGAGGCGCTGGCGTGTTGGTACCTGACAGATCTTGCCAACCTCTGCGTCCCATCTCACTGACCTGTCAACAATAGAAGAGATTCTCAACCTGTCATACAACTTCATAAGATAAAAATATTGTGCGTACTACTTAGTCACGTTGAAGTACCAGTACAGATGAAATATGTTTACATTACTTATTTTTTAACCTAACCCCCTTTAAAAAAGGGTTATGTGTTTTTTTTTTAAGTACTGAGTATCGGTACTGCAAAAGTTTTGATTTCACTCACATAAATTAGAAATATTTTTTTAGTGTGTTAGTTAGTTTTACTATGTTAAACATTTTTTTAAATAAACTTGTCCCTGTTTAACGTCTTGTTTACACACGACGTGCTAAGCCACACCACGGTGGCCATGTTTTAACACTGGATTAAACATGGAAATTATCTAATATGTGAACATAAACATGTATTTAACGACTCTATCTCACACACAGGAGTAAATTCTCCTTTGAGGGGGATAATTTTGCTTAAAAACCAGTTTATACTTATTATTTTTTTTTCTTTAAAAAGTTTTTCCAGAAAATTTTATATAATTTAGAAAGCTAAATAATATCATAAATATTTTTTCAGAAAACATAAATATGATGGAATATTTCTGTTTTTTTTTTTTTTTTTGCGGAATAGTTGATATTTTGATTTTATTTTATTTAAAACCCGGGTTTTTTGCCAGTTTAAATTTTAATTTCATAATGTTTTCCTATGATAACTTTGAGCTTAAATATTTTGTTGAGTTATTAATTCCGAGGTGTTTTATTCAATTAACACGTTCAATGCTACGGACATTTGAGCGTCAGCCGGGCCACGGCGCCAGGAGCTAGGAACGTTCCGGAACGTCACCGTTCATTGTTGTTTAACGTTGCCATGGATAAGCCAGCTCGTCGCAAGCATCCTATATTTCTTTGCAGCTTGTGGGGACGTACTTTTCTGACAATAAAAAATATAGTTTCCCAAAATCACCACCAGGGTCGTTTGGAACAGGGCTTTGTTCCATCTCTTTCCTGCTAGATAGCGACACTACTTTATCGACTGTAACCTGGGTAGTGCTGCTATCTATCAGAATCACTTAGTACTACATCCAAAGCCAGTTTTATTGCAGAACATTGCCATCCAGTATAACTACTGTTGTTTTTACTGTAATTCAGTGTATTGGGGGCAATGTCACGCAGCGGCGAGCGTTTACTTCAGCTCCTGGCGCCGTCCCGGCATCTAGCGGTCAGAAGCGAACGTGTTAAATGGTAAAAAAGTAAGTGTGGTTAAGCTATTTTAAGAAATATGCCTGAGAATCTTTTTAGCGTGAATTTGTTTAAGTCTAATAGTTTGTGGACATTAAAAAAAAACACACTAATATACTGTAGACATCAAATTTTACACTAAAAGTACAGTAGACTATGTCTAGTTCGGCTTTGGTTGGATCGGCCACCGGATGGTCCGGCCTGGTCTCAGGGGGACAAGTCATATCGTCACGAGCGAATGACCTTCGACAGGATTCAACTTGAATGTTTAGTTTCCGGCCATAAAAGTAAACAATTTATGTCAGTTTAGTTGACGGTGTCTATGGGTGAATTGTTGCATATTACCTCTGTTACATAACCTCAAAAGTATCAAGAACATTTTTTAAATAGTTTTTCTTCAGTCTGATATGTTGAAATGCAGTGTATAGGCATCTAAATATATAAAAGGCAAAGCCCTCACTGACTGACTGACTCACTCACTCACTCATCACTAATTCTCCCACTTCCCATTTACCTAGGAGGCTGAAATTCAATACACCGATTCTTTGGGCATTAAATAGGAAAACTAAGTAGTTTTTATTCTGGTCGGGCTTCAAACCTAAAGGTGAGTGAGCGTAGCGAACGAGCTCAAACCTAAAGGTGAGTGAGCGTAGCGAACAAACTTCAACCAGAACGTTATTATGAGCCATGCGAATAGTTTATGAAGTTAAACGGGGCAAAGCCCGTGGGTACAGCTAGTAATTATATATTTCGAACAACTTTTTTATGTGGTACGTTCCCCTATTATTGTTTTTGAAACGCCTCGGTTTATTTCACAAAAATAAATTCAAGCAAAACAAAGAAATAGCCTTTATTAGCTTCAAGGTCAAGCTATCCGCTTGCACTGACAATCATCTGCTCTTTACACAACTATCTGCTGTGCGCTTGCTATCTCACAACAGTTTGTGATTGGGTGATTAGTAACCATGGCAACTTGTTTAATATTTGGATAAAGAGAAACTAAAGAAAGAATAGAAGAACAAAGAAGAAACAATAAGCGGTGTTTTCATCATCCATTGTTAAATCTTTATCACTACGTATTTTACGACTGTCGTGATTATCTTTAAGACTGAGTACTATGATTTTATGCTGTTTTATGAGTTAGTCTATCTAATGTTTTTATCGACATTCTTATGTTCTGAAACAACATGTAATAGTAGCCTTTGCTGACTACGGTAGCAGTAGCTTGCAGTATAGACTTTCTATTGTTCTGTTCTTTACGTGATTTATTGCTGTACGTACAGTGTTGTGTAGTTTTTGTTTTGCTTGAATAAGCGTGATTTTAATCGTAACAGTTAGTTTTTATTACTGAACCAAGGTTAATGACTTAACATATGACAATTGCGCAATACTATTATTTGTATTTTGATAATGTAAAATTGCAAATTAATTGTCATATTAACGTCCATTTTATACAGTATTAGGTGTTTTATGGGTATATGTTTATGCCATGTTGGATTAACCGTGGTTTTCAGTTATCCGTGGCCTCCCCTCCCATTACCCCGGATAATTGAGGTTCTACTGCATCCGGTTAGTCCGGCCGTTTTTGTAAGCCAGTGGCCCCGAGGTCCCGAGGTGGCCGAACTAGAGGGAGTCTACTGCAGTTGCAGTATCCAATGTACTATTTATATTTCCAAATTCCAATGCATTCCCATACATAGCTATGTTCAATTACTGTGGAATAGTAAAGCTGGAATTTTAAATGGTCCTTAAATAGGAGGTTAAAAAGTGGGTCCACTAAAAAAAAACACCAATTTGTTACACCCAATATTAATTTTATGTTAACACCTGGATTAAATAGTGATAAAATCAAACATTTATTTCAAACTGCAGGGTGAGTTATGTAAATCAATTTAAAAATCATAACCCTATAAAAGTATTAGTTGAAGTTCTTGATTCTTTTTATGACATCTCAAGTGCAAAGCAAGTGTGTGTGTGTTAAATTATACATTTTCATGTTTAATCTTACTGTCATGCTGCATGCTTCGGTGGGTCGATCAGAGGTTAACTCGACAAACTGGACCAACGACATGACTACAAGTTAGTAATCAACATATGTTATTTTGGAAATGAGAAAAATAATTGAGAAAAACCACACAATCTTTATAGTTGGAATGGTAGCGTACAATTAATGTTTTCATTGTTCAAGTATCAAATTTAGATAACAATGAACTGTGTGGTGATATTTAAAACCAATACATTCTAGTGATTGGTGCATTTCAGTTTCATTTAAATTAAAAATAATATAATACCCTACAAGTTAAACTGTTACATAGTAGACTCAACAAATCTAGTTTACACAGCAAGTGTCTAGTGAGAAGTTGTACAACATTGTCATTCAATAGTTCAGTGTTTCTGACAAATCAACTACAGTATTGGTAATGCCCCCTAAACAGCAACAAAACCTCTACTGTATTTTAGAAGAGTCAGAGTATAAACTTTCATTGCTTCGGGAATCTTCTAACTGACTATGCACAAACACCTAGGAGTTCCAAATATGACAGGCAAATGATTTTAAAATCCAAATGGAAGGCGCCAAATTGGTATCTTAGCAATTTACGTGTTGTAAATCTCTATTCAAGTTCAAGAATGCGTTGCTTCTCAAGCACGTAAAAAATGTGTTATGTTTGCTATCTTGATTGAAAATGTTAATTAATATAATGTGGTAAGGTACTAAATTTGCAAACTTCTAAAATAAATATAAAAATGAAAAACTTACCTTGCTCGCCAAACTAGAGACTTGTGACTGTACATCGTCCAACAATTTACCTTCTTTTACCTACAGTAAAATAGAAAACAAACTAAATGAGAAAAAAAATCAAATGCCACAAAATTATGGAAAAAATTAAAATAAGTAACTCAACTCAGAAACATCAGTCGATAAAGGGTAATGAATGTTCTATGAAAATGCAAGAAATATTACAAGGGAATAATCAAATAGGAAAACAACTATTTAGGCCAAAAAGTACCAGTTTCAGTATACCAGAAATAATTAGATCTTCAGCTTGACTCAAGGCGTAAAGTTTGGTGTTTTTCTCTCTTTTTACACCATTGGCATTTTCAAGGGAACGGTACAAACCCTGGTATTGATCTACCAACATCGGACTTTTGTAAGAAAGCATCTTTAACTGTTAGCCAAATGACAAAGGGCATTTGAGTCCAGAAACGATCTCGCTTGGTATCAAAACAGTGACCTTCTTTGACTCTCTTCCTGATTTGAAGGTGAGCACTAAACACTCTTCCCAGACAATTAGAGTTGTAAGTTAAGTTTGGAGAGATATCAAGATTTTAGTGTTGATAGTAGGCCTACTGTTGGACATGGCGATGGACTGGGATGGTAACTAAAATAAATTACCAAATTAAATTGGCCAACTCAAGCATCAAACTAACGACACAATATAACATAGCCTAAATGAAAACTATAAAAGCAAAATAAATATACAAGTAAACAAATAAAAATGAAATGAATAAAACATACCTTATCATTAACATTAACACCAATTTCAGCTACCTTTTGAGTCGCAATACCACCCACTTTAATGGCGCTCTCTGTAGCTTTGGTGGCAAGTTTGGTAGCACCAGTCGAAAACAGGGACCATCCCTGGAACAAATGTAAATTAAGATTAGCGGTTGTTTTCTGTGGTTTAATCAACACCAGTTTAAATTTATTTATTTATTTATTGAACACCAACGGCAAACACCATTTTACATTAGTAATTGCTACAGATAGCCAAAAATAATTAATTTAAGCTTGTTTTAAAACCCTGATCCCATTACTAACAAGTAATATATTATAATCAACATTTGAATTTCAAATCTTTATATCACTATTTAAGACAGGAATTGATTTTTAAACAAATTAGACGAATGATGACTGATGAGTAATGAGTGATGGACTCAGTCTAACATTAGGTTGTTCTATTTATTAGAACTATAGTTCGGCCGCTTAGAAAGCGACCTCCTCCAGCATTGGTTTAACATTAGCGCGCAGGTCGTTTTCTAAGAGGCCGAACTATAGTGGTTGCCTCGTGGTTGAAAACTCGACCAAAAATATGTATTGTGCAAACTTCTCTATATTCACCCCACGCTGTAAATAAAACATGTGATTGGAATTCCTCCAATTTGTTTTGATTTTCTGTTTAAATATTGTTGTTATTTTGTCAACAGAATGTCAACCAATAAGGTCCATGTTAATTTTTTTTTTATTTTAAATTCATTTTTTGTGCTTATTTTTTGAGCCTATTTTAACTTATAACATGATTATACACATCTACAGGCAAATATCTTTCTTACAGTATGCGTAGATTTTCCCTGCGATGCACACAAGCTGAGAAAAAAGGGTTTAAAGAAACATGTTTGCCTATCAATATATAGATAGCCAATTAAAATTGGTTTAGTTGGTATTTATACAAACCAGCTGTTTCTATATTCAGGACCAGAGATTTCAGTAAAAAGTTCACTTCAGCCACACTGTTCTGTTAAATAACACTAGCCCTTAAAGTGTAATTCATATTTCACAACATTCTACGTTCATCCTTCACTTATGTTTGGGTTACAGATTATGAGGTGGGGATGCCACTTGTAACTTACTTAAGGGGATCCCCACCTCATAATCATAATAATGATAATGATACAACACAGCCAACAACAAAAACTTGCAAACTAGGCAAATTTTGATTTGCCTAATTGGCTTTTCACTTTCACAACAATATTTCCATAAAATTACCGGAGAAATTCCCGCTTTAAAAAATACGGAGTTTAGTGAGAAATTAACCATACAACTCTTCAACATACTAAATTGTATATTTTTTAAACTCTTCAAAATGGCTGTGGAATGAAATTTCAAAATTTTTAGTTTAGGGGATTGAAAATGGGAAAACCAATTTTCAACCCATAAAAATTCCCATGGAACCCCAATATCATGCTGGTTTGCCAACTGGTTTGAATAAACGTAGGTTTTTATATAAGTTTGTTTCACACATCATCAAAATATTATGATTTTTACTCAAATTATCGTGCTAGCTGAGACATAGGCAACATCAATTTGAACGAATGTTGTTTTCGGTCACTGGAAACACAAACATGAAAAAAAAAACTCTGTCCCAGATCTAGGTCTTACCATGAGACTTGTCATTAGCTTTTCCCTTATGGGGAATTGACAGCTAAAGAATTACATTTACACAACTAAAGGACTTACACTGGCTAAGGACGAGACAGCAGTGTCGAAAAACTCTTGAGATTGGCTTTTTGGAGGTGGATCCATCGTGTAACCAAACCCTGAGTACTTCCCTCCTTGGTTGGGGGGAACATGGCTGAAAACAAAAGGTCAAATCAGACATGGACAGGCCAATGTGGTGGTAGTTTTTTTATTTTTAAATATTTTTTGTCCTAGCACACTAGGCACGAGCCTGGGATTGTTTTTCACATTACTTCAGGCTAGACCTAGGGGTTGCGGCATTATCACTTAGATAAAATCCATTGGTGACTTGGCGGGGATCGAACCCGGGACCTCAGGGACTCAAGTCCCGCGCTCTAACCACTACGCCAGCTCGCTCCCCCTAATGTGGTAGTAGTGAGTAGTATAAATTTAAAAATAAATACATAGTGAGAAATTAAATGTCTAGTTCCTCAAGTTCTAAGCCTAGAAACTTTGAGAAAGATTGATTAGTTCTAGGTCTTTGCTAAAAAGTAGTTTTGTGTCAAAAAATACTTTGCCATCTAGAGGATTAGAAAAATTGCCATGAAACCACTTGGGGTATTTGAAAAAGATTAGTGGGCTATCCACAATTTCAAACTATGGAAAAAAACAATAGCCTATGTCAATGCCTGTAAACCAGAAAATTGTTAGGCCTAACTAACAAGTAATCACTTACCAAGGATCATTAACTATAGCCAAATGCTACAAAGTATTTGTGTGTTAAAAAAAAAACATTGTGTTTTGCAGGTTTGTAGAAGTTAGCTATGTTGCCTGTGTTTATAAAACAGGCATAACAGCAAGGATAAAAGATTTATACATACTCTGGCCTGGTGGAATTTTCTGACTGTTTGCGATTGAAGAACGCTTCCGTCTCATCTTTAAAATTCTGAGAGTTCATGTTCTGGTAGCTTGAGCCATCATAAGAGTTATCATACTGCGGTGAAGAGGTTCTCTGCTGGGGCTGCGACCTGACATAAGATGATTTCAATATTTATGTTGACAACAATAAACACTAAACCATCGTATTGTTTAAAATAAAACTTATAAATATGTAAAACTAGCTTGTACCTGTGGCTTTGCCTGAGATGGTTTAACCATCATACCTACATCATAAGAAATAAACAGAGTATTACAATCTAAATCAAAACACATGACACAACTGTATAGTTGAAGGTTTCTAATTATTGTTTACTTAATTTTTTTTGTTGAGGTATATGTATTTAGTTCTGTTATGGTTTTGCAAATAATTATCCGTCGTGGCTTCGCCAACGATCACAACAATAAGTTATTATCATTTGCATCACACGCTGTTTAAAAATCATGTTACGATTAAAAATGCCAATGCAATTAAATTACAATTAAAAACTAAACGAAAACCATTCAACATTAAACAATATGTTTAATCTCCAACTAAAAAATCTTACAAAATAAAATCTTGAAACTGAAAATGCCACGACTCTTCAGTTTCTCCAAGGTACAGTTCTTTCATAGCTGTATCGGCTCTTCTAATACAGGTAAAGAAACTTTTGCACCAAAACGACTCATTCCAGCAGGCTCATCTTTCCATTTTAATGCTCTGCAGTGTATAACTTGTAATAATTTGTGTTGTCTAAAGTCCATTCCATTGCATAATTTTCAAACACATACCAATTTATTTCTGTTGAATGCTTGTCGCCAATGATTAAAACACATAGGCTAACTGTAAGAATCCTACTTTGACAGTTCTCTTTCTATATTACAGCTTTTTGTTGCTGCTTAGTAAACAAAATTGTATTATTATGGTCATCTGTTTTTATCTAAACTTGAAACAGTTCAGATGATTGACAACAGAATTCAGCATAAACTCTGAAGTTTTAAAAGCCTGTAGGGATGGGCTTTCATGAGATATCATCCAAACTCACAAAAGGCACATCTAGAGGATAAGAGCTTTAAATTGATACCTAATATGCCTATAAAAATAAATATTTAGGGGTCGATTTGTTGACACAAAAATTCAAATTTGTTAATAATATAGACTAGGTGAAACCCGTCGAAATCAACGGATACTTTTATGTATAATGCCAATCCAGCTTAGTGTAGCATTAATACTGTAGAAAAATTAAGCTTACTGGAGGTGAAATTTACTCACAAAAAACTGGTTTTGAATAATATTGCGCCTTAAAATAGTCTGTAATTTTAAAAGGAAGGCAGACTAACATAGGTTATAATCAATTTCATCTTACCTGGATGATGAACCAGAGCTGTAAACTTGTGCAGAAGCCTTGGCCTCATCCCAGGGTTTGCCTTGGGCCAGCGTTGCAATCTGAAACCGTCAGAGAGAAATGTAGATACTGACTGACGAAAGCGCTTTTGACACTGCATACAAAAGGGTTCCTAAACTGCATTCAAACCAACTATTTAAAATAAACTATGGTAGGCTATAGCATTAACCCCTTAACCGCCACGCACGAGATATGCCGGGCGATACTAGTTTTCAGAGCAACCGCCACGCACGAGTTATCTCGTGTTGACGTAATCAGCTGTTGTGTTTTATTTTTAACAGCTCACTTCCCGCCTTATCTCTGATATACGTACGTAAACAAGTTGTTGACAGTGCTGCTTGACTAGTGCTGCAATCTGGTGGATTTTAGTGGTATTATAGGTCAGTAATGGTCCCGATCAGTTCCGTTCGTAGTTTCAGTAAAACTCGTACTTGCGGAAGCTTACGTAATGCTTACGTACATTATGCGTGTCATTATAATTGTGATTTTTGGTGGTTATTTACTTGATAGTGTTGAATGAGTAGTAAATATTAGTCGAAATGGCTGGTGACATGCTTGAGGATGATGATTTATTAGAGTTGTAGACTTTTGTAGGCCTAATTTTTATTATAGGCCTAACTCAAGAAACCCCCGAACCCCCCCCCCCCCCAATCTCAAATTTTAGTATTGTTAAAGCTTAGCCTAATGTTTTTGAAGATGTCTACAAACAATATTGATAAATATTTTCTTTAAAAAAAAAACAACTGGTACAATTTTTTAAATCACAAGTAAAAATCGTCAAAAAACGGCAAAAATAAGTGGCAATGGCGGATTTTGACTAGGCTACTTAGACGGCGGTTAAGGGGTTAAATAATGTAAAAAGTATGCCGGTAGGAATTTAGGTTGATGATAAAAGAGAATAAGTTAATGTCTGTAGATAAAATGGAGACAACATGGATGGTTAAACTCATAACAATTCATAGGTTCATTAATCCATAATATCCGGTAGGCCTAAGTATAACATTTTTTGATAATGTTAATAATAGTGTGTGAGTACTATGTACTGTGCAGTGTAACTGTATACAAATATAGCAACAGTCAACTAGGCTAGTTCAAAAGATCATTAAGGAAATGTTCCAATTATTGTGATGATAACTGTCCCCAATAATAAATGTTCAAACACAAACTTAATATCAATAACAATGAACGATGGTAAAAGAACATACTTAATACTTGATACTTGATGTCTTCATCGTTGACCGACATTATCGGATAGATTGCGTCAATTAGTTACTATATACAAATTTATACAAAACTAATATTTACAACAATAAAAAACATTGTGGCATGGCGGTTTGGACTTATTTGAATATTCCTCAGGGTGGAAAGAGGGGCTCCTCTAGCAGTTGAGAAACTCACTCAGAAAAGACAAGTAGGCTAGTGACAAATAACACTTAATCGACTATAGAACTACAAGAATATTAAGTTAAAGAATTTTGCTTTTAAAGGCCTACTTGAATAGGTTATGTTTTTTTTAGGATTATGCTAAGAATGTCATAGTTCCCATCATATATTAACCCTTACAGCGCAACAGATATGTTGGGTGACATTCACCGTAACGCTACATATAGGCTACCTAAAAAATATATGTTCCATAAAGTCAAATATGATTTTTTTAAATTAAAGTAATATAACAATAAAGCCAATATAATAGCAAACGCAGCAGAGAACGAAGTTTCTCGCGGAGTCTGCAAATTAACTAAACACTTGCCAGTTAGTCCATTTATTCTCTCGTGACTCTCTCGTAAAATACCACTGGCGTTGAAAAAAAAGAAAAAGAAAAGAAAGAAAGTCTGTCCATAGCGCTGGCGTCTCTCATAGCAGAGACCGGCAAATGTAGAGCGTCGCCATTTTGAACAATCAGAGGGCGGGGAACGTCGTTATTGTGATTTTTCATCACAAGAGATGTTCCCCAATAGCTGCTACACTCTATCGGCAAAACTGGGAACTACCAAGACTGGCCAAAATGCACTTTGTATTAAAAGGTGAGTATAGTCGACCACTTTTATTTTAAGTTTCTTACCTTGTCTCTGTACAGGGCTGCAGCTTTGGTGTTGTAACGTTGCTGGATGGGCATTGTGTCATCCCAATCATCTTGGTCATCGAAAAAATCTCTAGCTCTACGATTGCCACCAACCTTGAAAATTAAATGTACGTTTAGAGGTTAAATAACATTCCAATGCACCTCAGAATAAGAATGTGCCTAATAAATACACTTGGTGTAGTTATTATCTCATTTTGAAATTGTAAAGTTAATGCAATCAGTAGTCTGCTTCTATCAATGATTACATTAATACAGTAGCTACCAACTACCTAATTTATAGCCTATTCAGCCCTCAGTTACGGAGGAATGTGACATTCGGTAATGAACGTGTTGAAGTATGTTTTCAAATCTAGGCCTAATAGTATTTAGTTTTATTTTATAACAGAAAATTATTAATCATCTGTTCAATTAATTATGCGGCTTGTTTATTTATTTTTACGGCAAACACCATTTTTACAATCGTTTTACATTGTGATACATGCGACAAGATTGTATTAAAGGAGGTGTGCCAAAAAGACAAAGTTCTCCTCACATGACTATTAATTTGTATCCAAACTGTGTTAGGCCTACTCATAATGTCTAAAATGTACAACAGAAACCTATAGGCCTAGCGGAGGTCAAAAGTACCTAATGTACTTAGGACTTGAGTTTGTAGATGATCCAATAGCTGACACGAGTTAGTTGACAATTTTTAACTAAAGCCGAGCTCAAATTACTGTACCTTCATTTTCTCCAACTCTATATCCTTCCATTTGTCCATTGTTATTGATCGAACAAAAGACAGATGAACCCCGAGCCCTCGGTGCTTTCCGGAACATTCCAGACAAATCCAGATTCCATATGTCACTGATGCCCATTGAGGGTTGTGGGCTCCACACTCAAAACATTTCTAAAAGAGAGAAAATTATTAGTAAGGAATTTTGTTTATAGCCTACTTGGATAACTTATATTGATAAACCTATTACATAGGTAGCCCATTCATTAAAATATAGAGAACAAAACTTGGTCAAAATAGAAGACAGATGGGTTTGACTTGAAGATGGATAGCTGCAACACAACCAAAACATTGTCCACTTCGGCCTATCTTTGCCAAATCTAAAATCACAAGGTTATCTCATGAAGACCGAGGTTCCATCCGGTAGCCTAAGTTATTTAAGGTACAGTATTACTTTACTTGTGATAACCCTTTATTGGCATCACTAAGTTTAATATAGCTAGGTAGGTACCTACTAAATAAAGATATGAACATTAATAATCGATATTTAAAAATATATCTATTATAAAATTAAACTATCATTACCTAACCTAACCAACCAAACTTGCTGATGGTGAAAAAATCGCATGAAGGTTTACTAATCGAATTGATAGATTCAATCTATATTAGCGTAGCCCAGTTAAGAAACTGTACCCGGCCCGGTACTGTTTCCAAGTTGGTGAACTGAAATTATTTTGTTGGCTCATGATAGGAAAATTGTCTTACAGTGCTTATCAATCGCAAAACCACACTTCCATATGATTTTAAAAATAATGTTAAAAAGCTATATAAAATTCAAATTTTGGATCGAAATAAGGGCAATAGGCGATCTAGGCCTTAGGCCTAATCTTTCGCCTATGAATTTGCATTGATATGCCTAACTTAATACTGATGATTGTCAGGTAGGCCTACAACTAGGCCTATCTTTTGAAGCGGCAGTAGAGAAGTATTTTTATCAATTGATGTATGATCATGTTTTAATATGATTTAACAAGTTAAATCATTATCATAAGCTTAAAATATAGCGTCATTTCAATTGACTCACCGAGTTGTCATATTGAGGCATCAAATCTTGAAGGACTCTTCTAGTTCGGGGACTGGCCATGATCACTGATTTCAATACAGGAGGAAAAGTAGGAATATATGTAAAAAATAATTTTTATAAAAAATAATACATTGGCTAGGCTAACTTAAATATTGTAAAGTTACTATAACCTAAAACTACTGGCCAACCCTCGATCCACTTGGGCCCGAGTCTGTCAACAGCTGACGTGGCATGGATAGCAGAAGCACTGAAGCAGACACTAGCAGTCATACGGTGGGGCACACGGGAGGGATTATGGCCACTGAGCTATAATCATATCTTGTAGTGTCGACGTTCGCCGCTAGAACCACTAAGTTGAAAAAATTGAAATTAATTTGATATTTTTTTTACTATAAAATAAGCTTTTAATTATAAAATAAATTTTTAATCATAAAATTAATTTTACAATTTTTTATTATAAAATTAAACTGTCATATCCTAACCTAACCAACCAAACTTGTCTTAAATATAAAAAATATACGAGATAAAAGTCGACTAAAATTTTACTATTAAAAGAAAAGTTCTGTTCATAAATAAAATTATAAATGCATCAAACTCTTAGTTAAAAAGTAAAATCTTGGGCAAAAAGATAGTGCCCCCTGCTGGTTTCGTACTGGAGACCTCCTGAACACCAGTCCGAAGCCGAAACGCTACCAACTATGCCACGACACGACCACCACTCGCTGGAAGCACACCGTCTCGTTACGGTAATCGTGTTGCCTCAAGAGAAGACATTAGCCATTATAGATTATGACGTCACCACACCTTTAGCCATCGTCCCTCCCGTATGCCCATTCGAGCAGCGGTGATTAATGATTTGTTTGAATTGAAGGGAGTAAGAAGTAGGTCTGTTTCGGGCAATGTATAATCAATGCACGAACGGTCAATTAGAGACCAATATTGAATCATTGATCAGTGTCACATTTATTGAATTGAATAAATGTCGTCTGAATGGTAAAGGTTTAAATTAGAGTTGGCTTATTTACCTCAGTTAATACAATATTTATACTGTACAAAACAAATAAAAATCAAATGAGCAACTGTATGTATATTTTATACAACTACATATTCAGCTCCTGCTGGCTTTGTTTAGACTATCTATTCACATAAATGTTAATACTGATGATTGAAATTTTTTAACATTGTTTGGAAGCACTTCATTCCCTAACGGTGTCATAGATTATTAGGAAAGGAATACCGGTACATATTTTTCCCTTCACCTGTCATTTTTTACTAGAAGTAAACGTATGTTCAAACGCTTAGGAAACGGTCTAAACCCATAATAATATTTGTGGAATTGAACCGATCCTTTCTGAAATCACCAACGCCCGGCCCGAGACGCTAACGACTAGGCTAGCAATATATAAACAATATATTAAACTGTGTTTTAAAAGATATAGTATTTTTATAATTATTGGCTCATACACTTTGCTAATCACGGTTAAACAATACTGGGTTCTAATGATGTCGAGGACTAAAACACAGGAGGGCAAAGGGCACAGTTTTATTAAAGCTGTAATCATGGAAGATTGTGACTCATTGCAAATTTATATTTAGACAGGATGAATGGGCAGCGGCAGCACTAATCAGGTCACATCATCTGGGCGTTAAACTGCTATGGTGGCCAATCTGGAACTCAAAACACAATACCTGTGTTTACAATACCTGTCAAACCACTAGAGGCGGAAGGGAAGGCAATATTTTATTTAATGGGGGGAAGGACTTGCCAAAATAGAAGTGTACACTCAACCTTACTGGCTCCTGGATGGGGAGCTAGGAACAGGAGACATGATGGCATTGACATTGGACTGAACTATTATTCCCACAACTTTTATCTGGAACAGGTGAAACAGTGGAAAAGATTGGCTTCTTCTAGTATTTTCAGGAGTCAGGGTGTTATGGTTTGTGTTTAGGTTTAAACCCAGCTGAAATACTCAATGAATGTGCTTAGACAGCTAAAAAAGTAGTTTATATCTTACATTACTGGCCTACTTCCTTACACCTTCTGCCTGGAGACCCAACATCAAGTACTGTAAAACTGTCAAGGCACACAGAGATCTGAAAGATGAAGTAAAGGTATATAGGGTGTGTGTGAGCATGGAACCAACAAGCTCAGCTCAACATGGCTGCAGTTTAGTTCAAACATAAAATGTATACCAGATACAGTGTACGCCTTCAATGACCTGACCTGAAATACTGAGATGAACAAGTGTGAATTCAAAGGTATAGGATATGTCATAGTAATACTTTTGACTATTGATACAAGTAATACTTCGTTCACAATATTTATGCGGTTTTAGGAGAAGAAATCCATCCCCTCCACTTGACATTTACCTTTAAAATAATAGCTCAACAGCTGAGCAACATACATTAAATACAAATAAAGTGGTGAGAGATTTTCCCCTCAAACCACCTAAATATTGACAATGAAGTATAGTGCAGTAGTATCTTTTTTGGCAAATCTCACACAAGCATAAGACTGGTTATTTGTGTGTTTGAAGGCATTAATTAATTTACCTTAAAAAGGAAAAACAATAAAACAGGACAGTAACAAAGAAGTAACTTCATGATGTATGTTGTTTTTCTGAATCACCGATGATAAAATATATATAAGGTTACATTACCTTGTTCGCCAAGTGATCCATGTAAGTCCAAAAAATAGGATTACGCGTGTTTCGACGTCAAAGCGTCATTGTCAAATCGTCGGTTTAGAAAGTTTTTGTACGATTTGACAATGACGCTTTGACGTCGAAACACGCGTAATCCTATTTTTTGGACTTACATGGATCACTTGGCGATCAAGGTAAAAAAGTAACATTACATTTGAACTTAAATACAAGTTTATTTACAAAGCAAGACTATTTACATAACAAGTATTTGGTTCAACCTAAAGTTGACGGATAACTGATTGCCTTTTTTCAAATATAAGCTCGACAGGCATCATAGTAGACTCTAAGTTCAAACCAGGTTGAATTTATTTTAATTTCACTTGTTCAATAATAAATTACCACTAAGCAGACATAAAAAAGTTATATAAAAAAGTTTTTGAATGCTACGTAACTTTCTGAAACACATAAAAAAAATAAAAAACACATAAAAAAAACAAAAAGAATAAAAGGTAAAAGAACCCATTTTAGTAGTTACAATTGAATATATACATAAAAGGGAAAATGTTTACAAATTAGATAGCCATTTCCAAAAGCGCATTGAGAGAGGTCGGTTCCCATTGGCCAGAGTTGCAAACAAACAAGACATTGCGGTCGATGTACACTTGGAGTTTGCCGCACTTGTACACCTGCTTAGCCTCTCGGTAGCGGTTAGGTAGAGGCATCCAAACAATGCCAAGTTCTTCACAACGCTTCTGAACGAGGTCCTTGAACTGCTGTGGAACTTGCTGGGTGGTCTTGATACACTCGACCAAACCCTGGGGAAAAACTGCAGTTAGACAATAGCAAAAAATACTACAACAAAGCAAGGAGAAAGAGTCTAAACTGACACAAGACTTTACACCAAACACAGAGCATTTGAACATTTCACTGTCACTCATGCATTTTCAAACAAGGAAGATATGAGTTAAAGAGAGATGTTAATATTAGTTCTCCTTTTCTCTTTTCAACCCATACCTTCCTTAGTTGAAAATGCCGTTGGTGACAGTGAAATATTCTAACATTTTGTGTATAGTATAAGGTTTTGTGGTTCATGTGCCAGTTTGCACTCTTTCCCATTGAGGTGAGCCTGCTATCTCAACTAAAATTCCTAACAACCTAGGCCCCTATGCTCATGTTTATCCTTAAAGTGTAGAGAAAGTATATGTAGCAGTTTGCAGATCAAAGTTCTGTCTGCACTGATTGCCATGATTACAACTGAGTGGACCAGAAGATCCAAACTAGTACACACTTTTACAAACCAAGTTTTAAGCATAAAGTTTAAAACTTTGCAGGATAAGGAATGGGCAACCCTCAAATGTAATCATAGTCATTATTGAAGTAGCCCTATGCAACTCATAACTGATCAATCTACATGACTCTGAGGCGATTCCAACTTGATTTGAAGTGGTACTTCACTACCAAAAACACTACACTAGTTAAAACACCTTTTCTTTAGAATCAGATGATTTATCATTCCAACAGTGAAGTAGTCAGGAGTTCAAGATATATTGGACCTCGTACAAGATTGTAGGAAACATTTCATTCAAGAAACATCAACCTAACCTTATCTACACATGATATGTTAAGGATTCTTTGTTCTGTTCTTCTTCCCTTGTATCTAGACAGACATAACATATTGTTGACTGTTAGTGTTGATATACCTGGTAGCGGGCCTGGGCTTGAGCAGCTTCTTGTTGTGAAGGTTGAGGCGCAGAACCTCCTCCCACTGATCTGTTCATCAGCTCTAGAGCTGATCTCAGGTGTTCTGTTAACATAAAACGAAAAATTATAAAAAAATATGTAACACAGAGCACAAGGGTCTAAGTTTTTCACCTTCACTATAAAGTATTCTAATATTTTGTGTTTCCTGTGCTTGTTTGGACTCTTTCCCAATCAGGCAAGCCTACTATAGTAAAAAAATCCTAAAAAATTATAAAAACAACAACAATGTATTTAAAAATAACAAACTGGATTTTAAAGCCTTGGACATTCAAAAGAGTCATTTAAAAACACTGTCTGTCTAACATCCTTAATTGAGAAATAAATAAGGCACCTGAATGAAGGTTCAGGTTAGGCTTACCTTTGATTACTGGTTCATTGAGCAGAGGTTCGGGAAGTACGCTCTTCCAGCCTGTGTACCAGTTGGTGACCTGGTCATAGTTGGGATTGAGGTTGAGCCATAGAGTGAGAACCTGCAGCCACTTGGGAAAGAAGCTCTTGTCCAAGAGAGACGCAAGAACATGTGATGGGAGTAGTTCCTGCCATTCCATCACCCAGTTCCAGTTGTCTAGGAGAAACATAAGAAGCATTTGTAAAAACAGACACTTCTTTAATGTCAAGGGATGATTCAAGATGTTGATTTTATAACAGGTTTACATCATATAGTCAAATAAGATGTATACAGTAAAATTTTATCAAATGTTTATCTTGAACCCTCCAAAACTCAAAGACAGATTAGAACAATATTTAATCGACTGGATTCAATTTTATTAGTTACACTACAGAGAAGTAAGACACTAAAGAT